TAGAATAGGGCGTGATTAACAAATTATCTTTCCTATTTGATAAGCCGAATAGGTAGTATAACGAAATTGGTACTCGTGACTTAATGATCTTAAACAATTCCATTAAACAACGGTATCTGTATGAAGAAATAGCGGATTCATACATTGAGTGCCGCCCAGTACAGTAAAGAGATAGAAATTAAAGTTCGGGACTTAGAGAAAGTTCCGCTACAAAGGGCTTTGAGTGTTTCTCCTTAGTGTTTTTTTTGCCTCACAATCGTTAGGGCATTTCGTCGTTATTGCTGGTCGGAAAGTTGCAACATGTCCAAATTGGATGGTATTTACCGGTTGCTATTTTTTCGGTTTTCGTTGTCTGCCATGCCTGAAAGACGCATAGCCGCGATATATTCGAATCTTTCAGTATCCATTAATGTGAAATTTTCGAAATTTGTCTATGTATACAGTAAAACAAGTTAAGTAAAACAAAGTACTTTATTTATTAGCAGTGCAATCAATTCATATGATATAATTATAAGTATATATACTTATAATTATATCATATGAATTGATTGCACTGCTATATATAATAGTATGTCACACCTATTTAACTGTTACGTTTGAGTAGTTTTGCCATGGCAAATACAAAGACCCATGATCTGCTGTCTGTTGTAAGCTTGTTGTAGCAAGTGTACTTTAACATTACTTGAAATTTTAACCCACCTAGGAGCATTTGTGTTGTAATGCACTTAGTCAATAAAGACACCGTGGTTGTTATAAAAAGGAGATGATGAAGCAAGTATTCAGGAACATAGGCATAACACAAAGAAGATTGGTCGGTGGGGATTGGGAGCCACTTAAATCACCTTTACACAGTGCCCCTCAGTAATCCATCATCAAACACATTTTTTGTGCGTTTCCATGGCGACCGCGCCCTAAAATTTGGATGTGCATCTCTAATTTTACTCCGAAAACTTTTGCCCTGAGATTATCCTTCATATGTATTAAATAAAATATCTCTACAATCATCATGTGACGAGATATGAATGATTATCGGATACACGTGCAAACTTGAATAAATGCTGAAATGCAGTTTGACATAAAGTGATGGACCACTTTTGCTTTGTTTCTTTGTATTTAGTTGCTATAATTTGCTCCACGATTATTCAGTAAGACGGCCAACTTAACAATGATGTAAATTCAATTTCTTGATTATCTTCAATTGAATAATATTTGTGAACACCAACTCTTTTGTCCTACATATTTGTCTGGCCCCTGGCCCTAGCAGCACATTTGTTACCGTAGCAACCACATAATTACTGCAAATTAATTAAATAACTTTGCTGATAAAAACATAACATATTCACACTTTCACAGCATGTCACTCACATTTCGTTCCAACCAAGAAGGGAATTAGAAATTAGAAATTAGAAATTAGAAATTAGAAATTAGAAATTAGAAATTAGAAATTAGAAATTAGAAATTAGAAATTAGAAATTAGAAATTAGAAATTAGAAATTAGAAATTAGAAATTAGAAATTAGAAATTAGAAATTAGAAATTAGAAATTAGAAAGATCATTACAAAATTACATGTGTCAGATCCCAATCAGTTATATGAAAGTTATACAACCAACCAAAAAAAACATAATATCGTAGATAAATAAATAAATGGTTTCAAAGTGTGCACGGAATATGGATACTAAGTCATAGCTTACTTTTAGGAAATCTTTCACGAAATAGATTATAAACAAAATTTCTGGTCTCAAAAATGTAATCCTCATTAAATAATTTACTGAATTGACTATTTGCGAGCATGTCATGTTGTGAAGGTCTGTGCTGTTTATTTGTCTGATCTCCTTGTAGACAGGACATTCTTTAAGCAAATGGACTTCGTCTTCTTTAATGATGTCACTAAATGGGAGCTCGTTTAGGAGGTCTATGGTGATTCTGTCTGAGCTGCAGCAGAAGTGGCAAGCTCTGTAAAAGCTGTTAGAATTTTTCCAGCCATATCGCCCCGTCTCGATATTAGGTTTGTGGGAGCTTGTCCTCAGCCATCTGATACATCGGGTTTTCTTGTGATTGGGTAGAGATAGGTATGGTTCTAATCCAAAGCTGCTTTTGACTTTGTTGCAGAATGCAAGCTTTTGTTTTCAAGTCGAGCTTTTTCCCACTTTTCTTGGAACCAATTTCTCATTCTATTCTGGACGAGTTGGCTGTTCGGCATGGGAACATTCTTCCTGTGTCTCCCCATATCGGGATATTTGAAGTTCTCTTGTTGACCCCAGTTGTCCATTTTGGAGGCGAGAGATGCAGGCGCTCGATGCTGTCATTTGCTAATTGACTGAGTGTGTCTTTGTCGGACTGTGTTTTCTTCTGGCAGATGTTGATGAGAATGTTGGTATAGGGGAGCCACACCTGACTACCGTATGAGACGACAGGAAGTATAAGGGTATCGAAGAGTTTGAACACAACCTCTTTAGAAATTGAGGAGAGATCAACCGTCTTTTTCAGGGAGAAGTATGCTCGAAGTCCTTTGATCCTGAGCTGCTCTTGGTTAAGCTTCATACTGCCACATATTGTGAAATGAGTACCTAGGTAGCAGTAGCTTTTGACCGAGGGGATTACAATACTTCTGCCGTAGGTAAATGTTTTACTCTCGAGTAACTGCCTTCCTGAGGGATTGAAGATGATGACCGCAGTTTACTATCAATCCCCGGAAGAAGAGAAAGAGGAGGAAAAAGCAGTTGAAGAGAATGAAGATACCTCTGATAAAGAGAACGCTGCTTCGTTACGCCACTTAGGGGCTGTGATAAAAATCTGTGTAAAGTTCTAGATTGCAACAAAACAGACAGAATGCAGTTTACAAACAAAATTAAAACATTAGTAGGTATAAATCTTGAAATATAACTAATAGCAAGTCTTAAACAAAGACAGGATTTTATGTGACACAATCCAGATAAATTACAAAATTGCAAAACTGCAAGCTTAAATGAATTTTTTGCTTGACCCTTGGCCTTGTAAATCTATTCCCTAAATCAATATGAATTGCTTTATATCATGATTAGATGTGCAGCTAAAATTTATTTTGTTTTAATTCCTAATTAGGATTTGCTGTCAACAAAAGAAGTCAATTGAATTTTGATAAGTAAATGACTGGTTTCTTTTCATAGTTTACAGTTAAAAGTTAACAGTTTCAAACTTTGCTCATAGAACGGTAGTCAAAATCTTTACGTCAATAAACAATTACTTATTTGTTATTGCTTTTGTGAAAATTATCGCGTTATCATTACATTTCATGATGATTTCACAGTGTATTTAGTTATTACTAAAAAATCAGAGGGGCCGGGCCATGGTCTTTCTTTTTCTTACAAAATACATATAATATATATATAAAATACATATAATATATATCATCATCAGCATATATGCTATGATATATATTATATGTATTGTATATATATATTTCATGGCTGGACTTCTACACAATAAAAGAAAGCGGTTGTGATTAGATCTTCGAAAGTCTTTGCATCGTTTATTTACATCAATTCTGAGAAATTATATCATTAAAGTAACTACAACAAATACGAATCATATACAATTGAGAATAAATAAAAACTAAAAGCAGTGGGAAAATCTGATGAACTGAAATTTAAAAAAAGAAACTGAAAGCCGTTAAAAATGTACTCTTATCTTATCTCTTATCTAAATACTGATAACTGATTCTCGGAAAATCACTTAAAATCACAACAAAAACCTGTAAAATTTATACTTAAGTAAAAAATGTAATATGCACGTCTCTGGAATAATGGTATACGGGTATTTGCCTCACCGAATGGCCAAAAAAAAGGAAGGTCTCTCAAAGTCACAAAACACATATATATATATACAGGGGGCCAAAAGCCAGTATGCAATCGTTGGCCTCAATAGCTTAGTCACTGATTGCCCAATTGAAATAATTCTTTCTGGTATGGCTTAATACCACCACTGGTTCAAGGAATTTGTCAACAACTTTTTTTTCAAATGAAGGTTCATTTTTGCATTTATTTGATAGTTTGGATAGTCGGATCAAGCTATATTTTAGTGAATTGTGTTTGGCCATTTGAATTACGTTTTTTTTAATTAGAGTTGTAGCTTCTCAGATGACTGAGATGTAAAGCATAACGAGCTTTATCATTACATGTGATCAGGTGATTGGCTTACCTAATCACGTAATAAGGTGACTCCGTTAACCACCATTCCGTTAAACATTATGGGAATTGTTAAGGGTGCCCAATTAAGGTGTCGTGTCACGGTGTCACATAATCACCCAATCAATTTTGTTAACGAGATACACAAAATGCTTGATAACTTCGTCATAATTTCTAATCCGTTTTGCCTCATTTTTCAGATCAGATGCAACATTTAATAATCTAACGTCTCTGATGTTCAGAGAGTACAATATAGGTCTTTTAATAATGGGCGTGGTCTAAAATATTCGAATTTTCAGATTTTGGCGACAGAATCCTGCCATCTGCAAAGCAACAACTCTCAAATATAAAACACGGCGGAGGTATAAGACCCAACGGTTGCACACTGACTTATGGGCTATGGCCCCCCTGTATTATATATAATACATTATAAAAATTGAATAAGTTTACATAACAGTCATAAGATGATAGATCATAATATAAGATGACTAGAAAGCCTGTGGTAACAGGGAGGAAGCTAGTAGTATTCTTTGAAATAAAGATTTAATCGCATAAAAAAATGTTCATCTTAACCAAAGATACAGCCGATTTAAATGTAAAACACTTAAAACACAACATAATCACCACAAAACCGATCAAAATGCCGTTCCAACACTCATTGCATGTGCACGTTTTGACACTGTTACCAGGCCATGGTTGCTATGCAACCTTTTGGTTTTTACCTAACTTCCTATTTTCATCTAATTTGCATCTTTCATTATTTATAATCATGTTGAAAAGTTTTTATGTTCATTGAAATTTAGTAGATCATTAACAGTAATTACTTCCTCAGTTGAAAGGTTTAAAATGTCGATCCTCATTCGAGTGAGATCTTCAAATGGTACGGAAAGAATATCCATCGATCCCGCAGTGCCCTTTTCTGACTTGGCAAAATTGTTGAGTGAAAAGTGTGATGTTCCATTGGACCAACTTTTTGTTTATCGTGACTTGAAAGATAAGAACCCGCTTGGGAACTCCAAAACTCGCCAGACATTGAAAACTTTGCGTTTGAATCATGGTGACATGTTGTTCATCAAATCTAGAGTTGAAACCCCAGATTCAGCGACTTCCTCCACGGTTCCGTCGGTTGCTTCCACAGACAGCCCTGTGCCCTCTCTAAGCAGTATCAATCTTGATGATGTTGACAGCAAGCTTTCTAAAAGTGACGGTTTGATCGGCAGGAAACTTAATCCCCAGCTCTGCAATCACAACGAGAATGGACGATGTGTACACTGTAGCCCTCTCGAGCCTTATGATGATGACTACCTGAAAGAAAATAAAATCAAGCACATGTCATATTATTCGTACCTCAAGAAGCGGAAATCTGGTTCTAACGGCAAGTTTGTGCAAATGGAGGATATTGACTGTAAGATCAAGCCAGGGTGTTTGAAACATCCGCCTTGGCCTGAAGGTATTTGCACCCAGTGCCAACCCCAAGCTGTTACTCTCAACCAGCAAGAGTACAGGCACAGCGATTTTGTCGAGTTTGAATCAGCTGATATTGTCGAGAATTTCATTAGCTATTGGAGAGAAACTGGTTTACAGAGAGTTGGGTTTTTGTATGGTCGATATGACGTGGAACCACATGTCCCGCTAGGTATCAAGTCTGTTGTTGGTTTCATATATGAGCCTCCACAGAACAATGATCAAAAATCTATTGAGTTGCTGGACGATCCTTATCATTGTGTAGTTGATGAAATTGCCAAGCTACTGGGACTTCATTGTGTTGGGTGGATATTCACTGATTTACAAGCTCTAAGCATATCTGATGGCACTGTGAAAAACCTTAGAAACGGCAAAACATTTTACCTCTCTGCACAAGAATGCATACATGCTGCATATTTTCAAAACAAGTATCCATCTCCTTCCCGATTGAGTCAGTCTGGAAAGTTTGGATCTAAGTTTGTCACGATATGCATATCTGGAAACGAAAGCAACACTATTGAGATGTTTGCATATCAGGTATCTAACCAGTGTATGGCATTAGTCAGAGATAATATTCTACTTCCAGCAAGAGAACACCCTGGCCTTGCGTATGTCAAGCTATCTTCGGAGGAACAGTATGTTCCTGATGTTTTCTTCCGTGAGAAAGACGAATACGGGAACATTGTAACGAAGGAGGCCAGGCCTTTACCAGTTGAGTATCTACTGTTGCAACTTCCGACTGGAACTCCTAAAGATGGACACAAGCCCCTGCTGCCTGGTGGTGTGGCACCCCCTAAGTTCCCTGTTGTAAACAGAGAGTCTCTGGATATGGAAGTGTTTAAGAAGTATTACAGAGAACAACCTGACGAATACTTTTTGGAGAGTCTGTCCGATATCAACGTGCTCTTCTTCTTGCATACCAATGATACACTGAATTTCCAGGATAGTCTGGCTGAACTTTGTACGGCAATTGTCAAGGTGGACAGAGATGCGGGCCAAGCTTTCAAGGAGAGTCCAACCTGGGCTACTCTGGAGCAAATACTGGCGGTGGATACTAATCTGACTGCGAGTAACGGAAGTACTTGGTCGTGTAGTATCTGTACTTTAATCAATAATTCTGACAAGACGCTCTGTGAAGCTTGTGGAACCCCTAAATCGTAGTGATATTTCAAATCTGCTGGCCAGTGCTCTTGGAAGTTATGTTACAGTATTTATGGGGAAGCTGTTATTGGTTTTTCTTTGTATTATTTCGGGTGTGAAAATGTTCCCCAGGTAGTCAATCCAATACAGTTAGAAGTTGTTTTTCATTACAACAGCTAGATTATGATACAGGGAATAGGGACATAATTGATCTTTATGGAATTTGAGGGGATTAATATTTAACAACATGATCATTGAAAATTGTTCAAATACTCAGGTGTCAGAAAAGTAACACTTTTTCTATTAATGTTAAATTATATATCTGGTAGCTGCTTATATTTCATCATTTATACTCTGAATATCGAAGGAGTAAGAATGCATGATGTATAAGAACGCCTTAATGGGTTTAATAAAACTGGGAAAACTTATTTCAGGAAGTTTTTATAGTTACCAGTTTTTCCTGGTCATATTGCTTAACTTTTAGTGCATTTTAAATAGAATATCAAGGGAAGAAATCAAACGCGTTTTAGTGTAAAATAATATATCATCTGTAATCATGCTTATTTCATGGGAAAAATGCAAAGATAAAGAGTAGATGATAAGATAAGAAAATCGGTGATCATTATTACTACAAAAACTTCAGTTGTATTGTTAAATGCTATTTTTCATTTGTAATTTGTAACTTGCAATATGTTTTTAATTGAATAGTTGGGTATGAAAACTAAATTTAACAATTATATATAATGTGTAATATATTTGAACCTCTCTCACTACAGATAATCTCCTAATTTATACAGGATTGAGTCGAAATAAATACTGCATCTTAAATATTTATACAATCAATCCAATTTGTTTAGAAGATGAAATTAACAAGTTTGTTGATGCTAATGGTGGTAGTGCGGTGCACAGATTGCTCTCTGCCGCTAGGTGACTCTTTCGGGGATACGCTGAACAGTTTTCTCTTCACAAGCTTTGCATCAGTACGCAACACCACTCTTGTAAGTTAGACTTAGACACTTATTATATCAATAATCATTATTTGCATTTAACAAACATGGATCAAATGAACGATAAAAGGGATGATAATATTCAATTTTGTCAGCTCTGCGATCTTTTAATTAGTTGATAGCCCGTTGGTATCCTTTGATTTTTGATACCATCAAACGTAATACCTATATATGTAAATTGTATCGTCTAGACTGTTCCTTGATGACGTTAATTTATTTTAATGACCATGTCAAATTGATAATATTTAAATTTATTAGTGACTGGTATTATAATTTTGTCTGAGATAAGAATTCGATATGTTTCAGATTCTTTCGCAACGATTCCACGAAAAGATGGCAAAATTTGACGTTAGTTCTGACAAAGATTCTTGGGGCCACGCTCTGGTTCGAATCAAGAAGTTTTGCGAGGAAGAAATCAGAACGATTTACTCGGACGTGTTTGGAATCGATCGTAAGTTTCCTATGATGATAAGTTATAACTAATTCTTACATATTATCGCGTGAATGTGAGCTAATTTGACTTCACCAATTTTAATTGCGACAATTTGACTTCCAATCAGTAACGAACAAACTATTAAGATGTAATTCATCAATTTAATATTCTAGAGATAGGCAAGATGAGATGGTTATCTTCGTGGCCATTTCATATTAACCAATTAGATGTCATCATTTGATAAGCTGTCATCATTTAAGAGTAATAACGGTTCAAGATATGATAAATTGTATCTAACAGCGGCATAACGGGACACTTGCCATGCACCAAAATTTTATCCTGGCTAGGCTGAAGGATTTAGCTCCCCTCGACCTTCTGTCGAACGAAACTTTTAAGTAGGGAACTTTTTGCTTTACCCATCATGCCTATCCAATGACCTTTACGATTTTTTGGTAAAGGTCATTGGATAGGCATGATGGGTTTGAGTGGATGATAAACTGTTACTAAAACATGATATCTCTAAACTGACAAGTGAAATTGTATAGACTATGGCTCGTCGTAACACAGGACCTCAAGTAACGACACTATTGCTAGAAATTTGATTTCAATCTAATGCAAATGCCCCGCGCGGCGGAGGAATCAAATTATTTCGCGCGCGCGATCGACATTATATTTGTTTGCTGGTCACGCACGTCCGAATAGATATCTTTGTGATTGCATCGACGGACCACGTGTATGGACTCCGTACGTCCAGTTCCGAATTGGAAGCTAGCTCAGTTTCGTCGAGACGTGTCTCGCACAGCCGTGAACTGTGTTACATTTCCGGTAACATTGATACACTATTGATCTGCGTCCTACGGGATACTAGAACGTAGGCCTAGTACATATTTACTAGTTCTTTTTTTTTTATCTAGACACTTATTTTACTTCGGTGTATTCCAACAGCCACAATGTTACACAAGTGCAACCAGCCAATTACAGGGAGCCGAAGGATCTTTTTGGCCAGTGACGGTTAAGGTAGTGTGTACCATACTTTCTTCGTCCGAGACAATGTGCAGCTCCTCATTTAACCCTCACACCCGATTTCTCGAGTATTCGGCTGAGTAGACCGGGGGGCTGCATAGACCACTCATGATCCTTAGCTGAACGTCGACGACGCTCACCCCACGACCAGGCAGTCAGTGGGTTTCGAACTCGCAACCTAACGATTGTAAGACAGGCGTTCTAACCAACTGCGCTACCTGGCCGGGGCCGCTAAAATGCATTAATATATAACGCTGTCTTGAGTATTTTAAAGCCCACCACATTTGTGTGATCTTTCTATAACTATCGTTATAACTGACACTCAGACACTGCTACTTAAATTAAACTACTACATCACAATGTTATTCAAGCTTCACTTATTGCCCCAGACAAAATTTTATATTGTACCAGCTTCAAACCTCATTTGACTCTCCGCTCTTGAGTCTTGCTTGAATTACCATGATTAAAGGACAGGATAAGTAACTTGACTATTCTTTCAGTAAACCAGCTGAAAATCACTCAAGCAAACCAAAAGCAGCTTGTCCTAATACTGTGTGGAGTACTGCTCTTGTTTTCTACTTTTATTATCCGAATATTCTCTCTGTGGACCATCTTTACTCTCTCACTATTGCTGGTTTGTGTTACTGCTCTCTTTTTTAAATGTAGACTCCTTGGATATTGAGGCATTCTCATATCTTTAGCATTCGTGTAGCCTGTACATATCACTGTGAACATCGTGTGTCCCTTCACTGCTCAAACGAAACACGTGTCCCTACTTTTGAGGGTGCAACGAATATATTAAAGAATAAAGGGCCGTCCACAAACCACAATTTACATAGAATCACAAACCCTCATCTCCTTGTCCCTTTTTGGCACAATTCTTTAAACTGAGAAATTGTTTGTGCACACTCCGCTGAATGTATCCATTGAAGAACAAAAAATGAGTCAAAAAGTGTCCTTTCAATGAAAATATCTTAATAAGTCGTTCAAGGTTCTTGAGACAAGTAATGTTCTATTTCAGGTATCTGTAAAAAGTATTTACGGGACACCAGCAATGGTGCACGCGTCCCTTTATCTTCTCGGGATACTGCTGGTAGCAGTTAACTATGCTCTTATGTACCCCGTGCAATCAATGGTGCTTCTCTTAACTTGGCAACTCGCCAAATACCTTGTGTGGTTCTGCAGTCCAAGTCCTGCCAGCCAAAGTATGTTTTTGGTTATCAAGACCGAGTATTTTTTGGGATTTGCTTACTATATTATACTTACTATATTATATATATGTATTTATAGGGATAATAATTTAGTTACTGTTTCAATCTCCAATAAGTAGGTTCACTAGAGATTTGGATCGGTTTAATCGTGCAACTACTTTTCGTAACCCCACGGCCCACAGTCTCTTTAAATTTTGAAATACACCCAGTAACAAACTGTGCCCTTACCAGGTGACGTGACTGGTATTGAACGGAGACTGATTTCCGTGGAGCAGAGATTAGAGCGGGCTGAGTTCCAGCTCCGGGAGTTCAGACAAGATCTCCGCCAACTTCACCAGTAGCTGCTCTATTCTTGTCAGTAGTGGAGCATGGCCATATTCTACAAGGCTAATGTCCTCTCAAATAAAGTGAACCTGTACAATTTTTAAAAGATGTAACTACTTATTATTTATGTGTTTGATGTATATTTAAATTTAGTTGTGCGGTGGAATTACTATTTTGAATTTTGTTAATCGTGCTAAGATGTCTGCTTAGGGTTTTAAACTACTCAGTATTCATGTTCCCATTTCAATGAAATTTCTTTTTAACATTTGAGTAATAAAGTGATTTATGTATATTTTAAATTTGAAAGTTTAACGGGTTGAATCGACATGAAAGTCTGCGAAAACTGAAATGATTATTTCTAGGTAAGGTAAATCTTTCCATTCTTCGCCCTTGCCCATGCATGTATACTCTTTTGACTAATTTATGACGCATACTGGATTTTATAATGGTTGATAGTTGTTGAACCCCTCCAGAACTTGTCCATACATTCATAATGGTTTATCGTCCAGAATATGTCCATACATTCATAATGCTCATTGTAAGTTTGCTTTTGACCGTTAATACATCTAAGTTATATCAACAACTTAATCATAATTGTACCATGTACAACATTTATATATTCAATTTTATGAACAAATAAACATTTTACGCCTATTTGATTTAATGAGTTTATTGTGGTTTCTATTTAGATGTAGCTTGGAAATACTCTTGTATGTCCACTAATTGTTGACCTCATATTCGTCTTAGTGGTTTATCCTTCCATTAATTTCCTAGATAGTCTACTTAATTTACTTACTATAACAGCATCCACGTACTTGCAACCAAACCGACAGAACTTAAAGCAGGAAGGAGCACGTGATCAGTATGTTAAATAATAAATAGTCTCCTAACACCACCTCTTCACGTTAGACATGGGACACAGTATCAGAAGTAAGAAGAAGAGGGCATTCAGGGCTGTTAAGCGTGTCCGGTACGGTCTGAAGGAGCGGGCTACTCTGGTTAAAATGCTGGAGACTGGTAATCTCAACAAGTATGTCGAGGAGTACCAGAAATCCAAGGAGGAACCTGTCGAGGGAGCCGAGCCCCAGAAACAGCAAGGTAGGATGCCGATTATATTAGAGTATGCTCAATATTTGTAATCTATATACTTAGTGCTATTCTGAATTAGTTGCTTATTAAACTTATATTTCGTCATATTGTATGATATCCGCCCTGGTAAAAACTTTTGTTTCGTTAATACACATATACATCAGGTTATAATTTGATATCATTCTCAATTTCCTCTAATAATCGGTGTTGTCTAGAAGGTACTGAAGTTGAAGGAGGACTCCAAGAAATGAAAGATCTGTCAGAAGAGCAACACAAGCGAAACTGGGACAGTAAGAACCAGATTAGGAGGAAACGAAAGAAGGAAAAGTTACTTAAACAAAAGAGTTACCGAGGTAAAAAATATACCTTTGCCAAGGGATCCATGACCAAGTCCTCTTGGTAAATGATGTCTAGATGTCCTGGAATTTTTACCTTTCTCGACCAAATTATTTGTTTCCTTATTTTTAAGTTATTTTTAATGGCATCAGTTAACTTTATTTTTAATAGTAAATAAGCTGGAGTTTTGGTTGTTGGTGCGATCCTCGGGATCAGGGAGTCATTGACTCCTTGTGTAATGTTGTAAGTCGTTATAAATCCCTAACCGTCAGTGTTTTTCCCAATAGCTGCCTGAAGCTGCTAAGTTTACATTTTACTTATTTATTTCCTTTGTTTTCTTGATCTTTATTTAGCGCAGCATAACCGTGATATCCTGAGATTTTAACCAATTGCTTCAAAATTCTACTCGGAAAATTTAGGAAAGAAAAGGTATAGTTTTTAAATAATTGGTAACAAAACCGTCCAAGCTGTTAATAGCCAGGTAATCATGATCAATATCCGTGTTAATAATATCGTATCAAAAGAAATAATGTGTTATACTTTAAATAAAATAATAAAGTGATTAATTCCGACAATTCACAGTCACCTTGCAATCGAGAAACTAAGAAATCACGCCGTAAAGTTTCAGTGTACATCACTGATGCACTGAAAAGTATAAAATAACAAAACTGCTGAAAAGAAGTCCCTCTGCCGTCCGGGTTATACTAAATTAACTTTTAGTTTTAATCTATAAAATCCAGTAATCAGTATTAATCTCTGCACTGTTGGGCCGTTGTTGGATCATCTTAACCCACAGGTGGTCTCCATATAACATGTTGCAGCTTTGCAGCACTGTTGTGTTCGGCGGTTTTCTGCAAGTGTGTCCGAGTAACAATACCTCTCAATTACCCCACACTTTGTTTTGTAATGCCAACCTGAAATTGATTTAGTATCAGAACTGTAATGCAGTGATGTAGAATTGGCGGTTGTGATATCTGATAATTATAATAGAGGGCCTTGCAGCATTTCTACTCGAAGCGCTAGGAATTCTATACTTTAATAAGCGTATTGTTGACCGTAGAATCGAGTAAAAGTGGTCCAGTAATGATGGGATCGATTTTTATCTTTATTTCGGACGTCTGAAGCTGACCTAACCAAAAATTTCTAAAAAACTGCCAATTCTTAATCAGTCCATTTAAAAAAGTTTTGTAACATCAATTCAATAGCTGGTATGCTGGAAAGTGCCGAATATAAATAATATATTTAAAAGAAACCTTTGTCCCCTTTACAAGTGTCCTGTTTTACATAATCACTGAGACAAGAACACCTGCCAACTTGAGCCATCTGTCTGAAAGTGAGATTACTACAGCTGCTCAGCCTCTTTACTCTGTCTTCTGTGTCTGGCAACGTTGGAGGACCATGAGAAGGTTGCTATTTAATTTGGGGTTTGTACTTAGCATCCCTTTGAGAAGGGATGCTACTTAGGTTTTATGCTTTGAGAAGGGTTGCTTTTTTGTAGAGATCAAATCAATTCAATTATTGGCGTCCTCATATAAAGTAAAACTGAATGAGATGTTCAAAACAATCACCGTATTCCGTAACAAGTTGTAAATATAGGAGTAATTCACATCATATTACGTAATCAGCTGGAGGAGGGGGGTTTCCAAATGATTACGCTACTGTAATTTGGACTCAATAGCTATGTGTAAAATGATTACGGAGGGGGGATGGGGGTTAAAAATTGGCCAAAAAGTGTTTACGTAATATGAGAACGACCCCTAGCGAGCGAGTGTTGTAAATATATCAATAAACATTAAACATGCCTGTGATTTGAGTGTTGACTAAGACCAACCAAAATACCCAAAGAAAAGCTAATGTGCTTGTAAAAGCGGGCAAAGCAGACATAATTGAACTCACGAAATAACAGATATCCTGATCACATAACGGGGGTGTTGCGGAGCTGGGTCACGTGACTATTATCTGGCAGGAAGAGGCTCCCGTTAACTCATTTAAGGAGGGCCTTGCAAACTGCGTTATAGGTACAACCCTCTTCTTGGGCCCTGTATTAATGTACATTATTTTTCTCATCCAACACTGAAACATGGTGAAAGATTATATTGCAGACGCAATGTTTTCGCTATCTAACTAGCTAGTGATAAGTTCTCTCTGATTGTAACAATAGACGAGGTTGCTCTTCTGTACATTCATGTCTCTATCATAAACCATTTATTATATCCAGTCTGTCCACCTACGTTTGAAGCGGTCACAAAGCGGTCACAAAATGCACCCCCAGTAGAATAAATACCGTTATCGCTAGCTAATTCGACACTAAGGCACTTGGCAAACTATCAGTATCAGTATTGGAGACAGTATGAGTACCTTTTAAGTCTTTTATTTTAAAATTATTTGAGACTAAACAATATTCAAAAAATAAATGACACAGAATTAGAATTTCACACGAAGAATTCAGAATATCATAGTGAACATCAAAAAACGAACTTTCAGATAAGAAAAATCACACCCAAAAAGCAATACACAATCCCCTTTTAAGATCATATCTATCTATCATAAAGAATAATTAAGCATCGAATATTTTTCCGCGAAAATCGCAAAATATCATTTCGTTGAAGACTGTTTATAAACGGAAATGAATATCCTAAATTATACGTTTTACAGTTCAGTTTCTTTTACTATATGGTTCTTCGGGTCAATCCTATGCTAGGGTTTCATTCGTATGTTTACGAAATTTTTCCAGTGTCGGGCTCTTAATCTGTTTGGTAGTTTTATCTGCTCTCGGCTTTTTCGGAGAACCACCCACCTGCTTCGATCCTGACATGGCAGATTTAGCAGCGCGGGAGTACCGTTGGCTAGACTGTTGGATAGTCTGTGCGGATGCCCTAGTAGATAGTGTTGCGTTGCCCAAGATGCGCACCTTGTCTTTAATCCCAATGACCAACTCTTTGATGCTCCTCATCCTAAGAACATGAAGCCAGGGGTGAAAGAAGAGGGAACTGTAGCTCAAGAGAATAAAGTAGAACTCACGCTGGTAGTTTACATTATCAAGGAGGCCTTCCTGGTACATGTAAGTAGTAATTCGGACATATGTAACCGGGAAGTTGGTAAGGACGAAGGAGAAAGTTACCAGCATGACCACAATGCAGCTTTGTATCAGCTTCCTATTCATTTGGCCTCTTTGTTGAACTGTGTAGTACCCTGACGACCCCATCTGAACCACTAATTTCAGAATGATCAAATTGGAGATCAGTATGATTAGCCAGGAAATTCCTGAAATGATCCCAGGGATGATCACTTCTGCCTCATGTAAGGCTGGTACGAGTTCACTGACAATCGAAGTTTCGAGGTCGCATCTTATTGGGTTTTTATAACGAGACACTTTCCTTTCTCCATCGTGTGGCTCTGTGTAGTATAAGCAGTTAATGAGAGAACCTCTCTCGTTAGAGGTAACTTCGTGTGTTCAGGTAGGGAAAGAAAAACGGGTACCATTCTTAGTAGAGGTAGGACAAGTATCACTCCACAGACTATTTTCATCCTTATCTTGGTCGCTACCGACATGTACCGGAATGGCTTTATAATTTGGAGGCATCTGTCAGCAGAGAGTGCTACAATTATCAGCATACGAAGATAAAAGAGGTATTCATAGAGGATGAACCCTATCTTTTGTGTGTAATAGACCAAAGACTCATTTTTCCTGAGCTCTTCCTCAAAAGTAAGTCTGATCCCGATGGGAAGTCCCAGCAGAACAGCGAGGGCCAGGTCAGCACAGGTCAGCAGCAAGCAGAACAGACAGGAGTTGCAGTAGGGGGAGTCTTTAATTCGCGTCCAGTTCTTACAGACAAGGCCCAGTAGAAATCCATCCACCACAGTGAAGAGACTTGCGACCGGTAGCAGGATATAACCTGCAATCTTTAAATCAGACAGAAGTATCGGTGTCGGTAGGGTGTTGTTATTGGGGGGATCAGTTGGAGTAGAAGTAGTCGTTTCACCTTCCTGCCCTTTAGTAGCATCTTGAGTTTTTCCTGTTATTAGGGATAAGGCAAGGGCCACAATCACCAACATTTTGTTTCTTCTCATCTTTATCCTCCTGTTGAGTGTTGATGTATCAAATAGTTTTCATCGCCCCTAAAACATATGATATGAGTGATAAAATGTTATTTTTAAATAATCTCGCTCCCTGGGTCGCTTTGAAACAGGGTTTTGGAAATTTCGTCGATTTAATTTTTAAATTTTTAAATTTTTATGGCGTCATAATGAACTTTTTAGTTAGTTATCACTAGTTGAAAAGGTTGTTGTTTCGTGACACCGGGTCAGATAAGTTCATAACGTTTACTGCTTTAGTGATATATCACTCAGAAAATGCTAAAATTGGGGGAAACGTGCCACTCGTTCGGCATGGTCGTCGTTGACCACAAGAGTTAATACTCCACGTGTAATTTATAGCAAGTCACAGGAGTTTTGAAAGTCTACATGTTCATTGTGGATCACTTCAGCAATACTACGTGGTAACTGGTAGACACGGACTCCGTAGACTTTAAACAATGGCATGTAGCTGGCTTCAAGTAGTGAAGGACAATTTGAGCTGCAAAATAATTTGTTCCATTTCATATCAAGGATGTTCCTTCAGAATAGTTTGTAGAGAAGTGACCGATTTTGTATTCTTGATAATATTACAATTTAGTCTCATTGGTCTATTTAGTCTGGCCAGGGTGATAACACTCAGTTGCATCATGGGGTTGCCCCCCCCCCATACTGTTTTCAAAAAAATTTCCCAAAGGGGAACACACAATCAAAGCAATGATGATGTACGTATCTTGCCAGCCTACGTCCTACTCCTACACCTACAAGTAGATGCATAAGCAGGGTTGGGAGCGGACCTTAAAACCTTTAAAAAACCTTAAAAATCGTGAAATTGCCAAAAAAAAAACCTTAAAAAGAGCGGTTTTAGCTCAAAAAACCTTTAAAAAGGAGATCAAAACCTCAAAAAGTTGAAAGTATTAAATATTTTAATACTTTCAACACTACTATATAACAAATAATTTGAGCCTGAAGATGGCGTTGACGCCGAAAATTTGCCCTTACTCCTTACTTCCTTGTTTCACTTGTCCTTGTCTCTTCCAACCGGATAATATCCAGATATCAGTATTTAGAAATGTGTATACCGTAAACTAACGATCAAAAATAATAGCTCTATCATTTGATCTATTCTCGCTATATCTAAAAAAAGAGGTTAACCTGATTTAATCACGTTTGGAATTTACTTTTTCTGATGATTATGAACCTAAAATTTAGAGTTAACATTTGCTGACCGAAATAACAAAAAATTATGGAGTGTAATAAAACATTAACCTCAATTTTATTAACCTCATTACCTCAATGTTGTGTAGTCAATTTTGTGAAAATCGGTTAACCTCAATTATTAAAAAAAGTTAAGCAGCTACAAATATGTGAATAGCAGCAATGATTTTGTCATCAAAAATTATATTGATTTAGAAAATAATATTTTGGTCGATGTTTTTGACCCCTTACCCCCTCTGGCCTTAAGATCATATCTATCTATCATAAAGAATAATTAAGCATCAAATATTTTTCTGCGAAAATCGCAAAATATCATTTCGTTGAAGACTGTTTATAAACGGAAATGAATATCCTAAATTATACGTTTTACAGTTCAGTTTCTTTTACTATATGGTTCTTCGGGTCAATCCTATGCTATGCTAGGGTTTCATTCGTATTTTTACGAAATTTTTCCAGTGTCGGGCTCTTAATCTGTTTGGTAGTTTTATCTGCTCTCGGCTTTTTCGGAGAACCACCCACCTGCTTCGATCCTGACATGGCAGATTTAGCAGCGCGGGAGGACCGTTGGCTAGACTGTTGGATAGTCTGTGCGGATGCCCTAGTAGATAGTGTTGCGTTGCCCAAGATGCGCACCTTGTCTTTAATCCCAATGACCAACTCTTTGATGCTCCTCATCCTAAGAACATGAAGCCAGGGGTGAAAGAAGAGGGAACTGTAGCTCAAGAGAATAAAGTAGAACTCACGCCGGTAGTTTACATTATTAAGGAGGCCTTCCTGGTACATGTAAGTAGTAATTCGGACATATGTAACCGGGAAGTTGGTAAGGACGAAGGAGGAAGTTACCAGCATGACCACAATGCAGCTTTGTATCAGCTTCCTATTCATTTGGCCTCTTTGTTGAACTGTGTAGTACCCTGACGACCCCATCTGAACCACTAATTTCAGAATGATCAAATTGGAGATCAGTATGATTAGCCAGGAAATTACTGAAATGATCCCAGGGATGATCACTTCTGCCTCATGTAAAGCTGGTACGATTTCACTGACAATCGAAGTATCGAGGTCGCATCTTATTGGGTTGTAGTAACCAGACATTTTCCTTTCTCCATCGTGTGGCTCTGTGTAGTATATGCAGTTAAGTAAAGAACCACTCTTGTTTAGAGGTAACTTCATGTGTTTAGGTAGGGAAAGAAAAACGGGTACCATTCTTAGTAGAGGTAGGACAAGTATCACTCCACAGACTATTTTCATCCTTATCTTGGTCGCTACCGACATGTACCGGAATGGCTTTATAATTTGGAGGCATCTGTCAGCAGAGAGTGCTACAATTATCAGCATACGAAGATAAAAGAGGTATTCATAGAGGATGAACCCTATCTTTTGTGTGTAATAGACCAATGACTCATTTTTCCTGAGCTCTTCCTCAAAAGTAAGCCTGATCCCTATGGGAAGTCCCAGCAGAACGGCGAGAGCCAGGTCAGCACAGGTCAGCAGCAAGCAGAACAGACAGGAGTTGCAGTAGGGGGAGTCTTTAATTCGCGTCCAGTTCTTACAGACAAGGCCCAGTAGAAATCCATCCACCACAGCGAAGAGACTTGCGACCGGTAGCAGGATATAGCCTGCAATCTTTAAATCAGACAGAAGTATCGGTATCGGTACGGTGTTGGTATTGGTGGGATCAGTTAGAAATGTAGTACTAGGTTTTGGAACAGTCGTTTCACCTTCCTGTCCTTTAGTAGCATCTTGAGTTTTTCCTGTTATTAGGGATAAGGCAAGGGCCACAATCACCAACATTTTGTTTCTTCTCATCTTTATCCTCCTGTTGATGTATCAAATAGTTGTCATCGCCGCTAAAACATATGATATGAGTGATAAAATGTTATTTTTAAATAATCTCGCTCCCTGGGTCGCTTTGAAACAGGGTTTTGGAAATTTCGTCGAAATTTTTAACTTATAAATTTGTATGGCGTCATAATGAACTTTTTAGTTAGTTATCAATAGTTGAAAAGGTTGTTGTTTCGTGACAACGGGTCAGATAAGTTCATAACGTTTACGGCTTTAGTGATATATCACTCAGAAAATGCTAAAATTGGGGGAAACGTGCCACTCGTTCGGCATGGTCGTCGTTGACCACAAGAGTTTTAAATACTCCACGTGTAATTTATACCTTCCCAATAGCGAGTCACAGGAGTTTTGAAAGTCTACATGTTCATTGAGGATCACTTCAGCAGTACTACGTGGTAACTGGTAGACACGGACTCCGTGGACTTTCAACAATGGCGTGTAGCTGACTTCAAGTAGTGAAGGACAATTTGAGCTGTAAAATAATTTGTTCCATTTCATATCAAGGATGTTCCTTCAGAATAGTTTGTAGAGAATCCACCGATTTTGTATTCTTGATAATATTACAATTTAGTCTCATTGGTCTATTTAGTCTGGCCAGGGTGATAACACTCAGTTGCATCATGGGGTTGCCCCCCCCCCATACTGTTTTCAAAAAAATTGTCCAAAGGGGAACACACAATCAAAGCAATGATGATACGTATCTTGCCAGCCTACACCTACAAGTAGATGCATAAGCAAGACCTACAAGTAGAGGCATAAGCAAGACCTACAAGTAGAGGCATAAGCAAGACCTACAAGTAGAGGCATAGGCAAGACGGAGATACCTATTACTATGTGAGATCGAACCAAAGAAACGTTTAACATATTTTATGGAAATGTGCAAGCTTTGAACATGCTCCCATTACTGTAAAGTCCCTATCCTTCAAGGTTTAATTAACACATTTATAATGTATAGTCCCCTAGCTAGTCTACTAACATTAAGATCAGACTATGGTCAGTCAGCTAAAGACCTGCCTCTTAGTTCAAGATATTATTTCCAATGAGCCAAACAGGGCTAGAAGTCGAGCAGAAATCGATGCATTGCACTTGGCGATTGATCTTGAAAATATATTTGTGAGGTTTTAAATTGAAAATTCCCCATTAGCCTAAAACCGGGTGTTAGGAAGGCTGCAGGAACTTGCCGAAAAAATTTAAATTAATCCTTATTTTTGGAATTGTATCGGTAATAATATGTATTAAAAGCCACATGGAGTTGCACAATAACTGTGATTCGAGATCTGACTCTGGTATTGGGAGTCGGATACAAAGTCCCGATATTACGATTCGAGATCTGACTCTGGTATCGGGATTCGGAGGGCCCTGCAATCCAAGGGCATTCCGATATTTTAATGGAGCGCAACTATCGATAACACATCTTGAACCCCTGCACCGATAAAACTCTTTGCACTATAGCTAAATCTCAGAAACGCCATGCTCTCTTAATATACTCTCCCTAAATACTAAAATAGGCATCGTACATTGTAAAGTGTGATCCGACCTGAAAAGTTGAAAACCCAGGCAGCTTTTTGTCGAGCCTTATTTACTATGGTCTTTAAATGTGAGGATTCTATGTGGGTATCAAAGATAGATCGTTGAACCGGAGGTCTCAAAGTTGACCTATATTTGAGGGTGACTTGTCTAAGTACTGATATAATTCACTGACAAAGGGAAGTTATCACCTTATATAAGATACTTTGTCTCCGTGAAGTGCGTGTGTGGGATTGTCCCTTGCATTTATTCACTTTCTGTTAAACGTGTCCGTTTTTTTTAAAGGTGGACTCAGATTTTTGTTCTATTTTACCATTTAAACCATCACACGAAGAAATAAAACTACCATTTCAATACACTGCAATTATTAGATAAACAAATTAATAAGTAAGATAAATAGGCTACATTTTAAGGGGGCATACACCAAAACAGTGGTTTGTGCCGTCCAGACCAAATGACCTCATAGGCAGTTCAGTGACCTTCTAGCGCACCGTTTCCACACCAAAAAAAATTATTTTGAGAAAAAAAATACCAAATGCCTATGAGGTCATTTGGTCTGGACAGATTTGGTGTATGCCCCCTTAAATGCGGGCACTGTAATGATTCTTGGGTCATCGATATACTAATAATTATGGAAAATTTTATATGAAAAATTCATTCTTTATTCATATCTAGAAAACTTCAAACTTTTTATGGATCAAACAATTTGACACTGGCATTATTGTTTAGTGTTTACCCATTTCTACACATATTTTCTATTGCACCCTTGCGAGCGTTCTAAATCACTCTACATTCGAACTTCAAGATTTTTCTAAAAGGGCATCGACGGTCGAACACAACGTCAATCAATGTATTTTTGAACGCTGTTTTCGAAACACCCCACATGACATAGGGTTAAAATTCTCCCCTGGCGAGATATCAGCGAAAAACTGTCTCGATCACTTGAAATGACCATATTAGGAAGTTGGTCTAATTTTTTGTTAGGGTTAGTGTTTTAGCATATGCTTCAGTTAGGGATTGGCTGACAGCTAGGGTTGGGGTCAGTGTAGTGGGTTAGGGTTTCGAATAGTTATTCAGGGCCACCTAGAGAACGCGTTAAAAAAGTCGTGTGGCAGTCGAGTGTAGAGTGATTAATCATCATCCTGGCGGTTCACTTAAGCTCCTGCACACTCATTTACACAGTGATGCAATGTGAGGCAGCATTCCCTCAATGGGTACAATTTATTCCAATTTTCGCATTTTGCTAGACGGTTTCTTCTTTTACACTCTGAAATCGAGATGTTTTGTCAGTGTCAAAAGTATGTTAACGTACAATGATAACAACGATTTAATGCTATTCGTAATCATTTATAATTAATAAAACATACAACTAAGTAATAAATGCTTAATGCATACGTGCAAATCGATTATAGAATACGTACGGGCAAAAGAGACTTTTGAAATGCTGAAAGATTGTAAATGCTTGAATTCACTGCACTTGGTATCGTAAATCTCCTGGGCACCCTTCGGCAAGCACGCTCGGCAAGTCCATTCCGACAAGCATTTGTCGTATTGAACTTGATCTGAAACTTCAAAATACTGTCAAAGTCCAATTAGTCAAGACATATAATATATAACATAAACATAATAACATATAATATAAACACCCTGACCTGGTTCACCGCATATACATACTTATATTTTCCAGGAATTATTTATTTTCCTGATACACGTTTTATTGTATTAATTAGACACGAAGGTAAACACACAATTGAGGCGTTTTTGTTATTATATAACATGAGCTCATGATTTGATTTCTAGTTTATTATGTATCTAACAGTAATGTTGAAAGTATTACATCTTTACTATACTTACTATTGGACTCAGGCCGCAGCGCCACGATTCTAAGGTCAGTTTAACTTTCTACGATCATTAACTTAGAGCATTTCTACCGTAAAGAGTTTCATGATAGGTACACAATTACTGGCAGCTGTTAGTGCAACATAATATCTGATTACGGTCTTTAAAACCTTTGAGCCATGGTATGGAGTAAGCTATCACGTGATACTGGTAGTAGTACATTTGGTGTGATGATGATAATGAGTTGATAATGTTATTTACTCTGATAATGTTGATAATGTTGATAGGGGGGGTCCAAGGGGAACTTTGGGGAACTTTGGGAAAGTCCCCCAAGATTTCTGAAGTTCCCCAAAAAAAAGTTCCCCAAAACTCCCCAAAGTTCCCCAAAATTCCCCAAAATTATTCAAAATTATTTAAAATTATTCAAAATTATTCAAAATTATTCAAAATTATTCAAAATTTCTCTAATATACATTAATACCCATTAATGTTAACATGTATGTTATTATAAGGTATAATCTTAACTTTCTTGTTGATACTTGCAGCATGATAATTTGTTTGGCATTATAATTTTTTTGGGGAACTTTGGGGAATTTTGGGGAACTTTCTGAAGTTCCCCAAAAAAAAGTTCCCCAAAATTCCCCAAAATTATTTGTTTCATTGATAATTTTTTGGGGAATTTATAGTGTTGATAATGTTACTTACTCTGAAGAGCGTGTTGCGCCTCCTCCACATCTGTGGTTAATACCACAAGGGCACCAGCTGTTACGGACAACAGGATCAAAATCACAGACGGATTCATAGTGGATATTGGACAAGTTGGTAATGAAACTTGTTGTGGAGGTGTTGAGGTAGTATACCCGTCTTTGCGTGATCTTCTCTGGCGCGTCGGTTTGTGTTTCCTTCTCCCAGAATTAGATTTTCCTGATTTGAGTTTAACTTGAACACGTTTCACATCTACTCATACTGTACTCAAGTGTAATTTACAAATCTCCTTCTCGGCGAAAAATATTCTAATTTTTCGTATAATTGTTTTGAAACGCTAATTTTTAATTCCAATGGTTTAAATGAGTTTGATCATTATCTATGCGAATTGATAAACAGAGATTCACTATTATCAATAAAAAAGAATGATCTATAATTGAAATTACACGATGTGCACGTTTTTATGAGAGGTTAATACATACAATTTCACTGTAAACCCTGTAAAAGTGTAAAATTTCGGTAAGAAGGTACAATAACATATTCCATACATCACACGTAAGCCTTAATTCAACGACTAAATGGCATAAAAAAGTAAGTCGAAAATCTTATAACTTATCGAAAATTATCATATCGTATACATTAGAATATTATCATATTTAGCGAAAATCAACATCCTCTGATTTCTTTAAAGGATTGAGCTGCTCTACAGCATTGCTTTCTTCCCCTTTCTTTCTCGTGACCCAGCAAGTAACAGTAGTGGTGATACTGGGCGGCTTTCGAGGAGTCTGCAATTATTGTCTTTAGTTTGTTCTCCATTAGTAATACATGTGATACATATAATGGGTAAAATGGTATCAGATAATAATAGAGAATGTACAAAATGCGTGTATTAATTATTATCAATTATAATTGACTAATTGTATACTTAATCAATATACATGTACTTATATAATACATACTTATACTTATGGCACTATCTGTGGATAGATTATAAAGAGGTACAACTTAGAACGCCCGCCCGCACCCCCCCCCCCCCCCCCCCCCCCCACTGCAAGTATGCAACTTCCAGCCTCATAATGTGACTAGGCCCAGTATAAACTTTTAACTCACCATATTTGCCATAAGGTGGTGTCCCCTGGTGGTAACAGAGGAACTTCTTATGCAGGATAGTTTCCAGACACCTACAATCCAGCATGTTTATTGGGTTCCTGCAGTCGTATAAGTATACATCCGGCCTATCGGCATCCTCCTCTGAAATTATACTTCTGTCATATTTAACTTATATTGAGTTATATCATTTCTATATATTAAGTCTACTGTGTGTGTTATAAGTATCAATGTACGTTGCAACTTGATTCAGAAGCTAACTACACAATACACTTGTAGAGATTACATGTAGAGATTACATGTCTTGCAGCCCTTCACATAATCCACATATTTTTATTGTAAACTAACCTATTTTGTCCCATTCTTCTGTCTCTGAATCTTCTATCTCTCCCCATTCCTCATCTCCTTCCTCTTCTTCTTTATCTCCTTCTTCGCCCCAGCTTGAGAACCCAGGTCGTTTCTCTTTATCTTCTGGCAGTGAAATGCTTTCAATTTATTAGTTCGTATATTTGTAAGAGTTATGACCTATAATACATATTTGGGGTACAAAATAATCTAGAAATGGGATAGTTTTCATGTATTATATTCTTATTTGGAAAGATGGGATTTTAAAACTAAACAAATAATATGTTGTTGATACCATCATTAATGCAAGATCTGCATGTTTTAGGGCACTTTTTGGCAACTTTTCGCTTGTGACAATCTTCCACCATACACGGACACCACTTTGCTCTATCTCGGCACTCTTCCTTGATCGGTTCCTCGGTGTTGTCTTTGGATACCTCTGTAAAGTTTTCTCTGAATTACACCAATTACCAAACCATAACATGTAATATAATGTCTCATCTCCTGATCAGAGGATATGTGCACACTCTCTAATTCTATAATCTATGTACTTACGTATTGTGTTACTATTTTATATTATAGACCCTTAAATCTTAATTCTCTTATGAACAGTAATCCAGTGTACTGTGTACTATTTAAATAATATTACTTGTGGTAGAGGATCCTTCCTCCTCGTGTTCTTTTCCCGCCCCAACGCTGGTACATTCAGCAATACAAACCACTATCAAGCTAAGCAGCACAAACCTGCCCCGAATCATTACAAACTTGCAAACAAATTGAGAAGTTCAAGCTTGAAAGACTTTGCAGAAGCGACCAAAAAAGTACTATAACGATAGAAATTGTCACTAAACAGTCAGCAGCCCGATATTGAGTTTCATACTAAAATTAATGATTGTCTTTATATCGAGTTACCCTGATTTGACCCTATACTCTGGCTTCTTGCAGGGCAGGGATTGCTGCAAATCTAATTTAGTTTCAGTCTACAGTTGTTAGTTAGTGACTGGCGTAATGTCAAATTAACTGCTCAAATCTTAATGTGAGGGTGATATAACTGTTACCCTGCATTGAATTCCGGAGATACGGAGACACTCGGATGACCTAGAATTAAGTCACCTTTGATGCATCTTTCAAATCTTCCGCAACTTACGCGAAATAGAAATCTCTGACTCAAAATCATGGCTTCGTACCGTGCGGTGCATCTTTAATCTTTATACTCTAGACAACCACCCAGCGAGCACACGACAGTGTTTATTAATGCTATAATTACTTCGTACTTTATCAAAATTCAAAAACTTCGTTCTTAAAAAAATCTCCATGGATCTTTTGTTAGGTATGCTGCGTTGTTGGAAAATGAAATTATGATCGTTCAATGCAGAAAAAATCGAAAATATCTAGATAACTCAATTTATTACACGGTACTATTTATTGATCGATATTTACAAAACTTTAAATATTCCACTCTGTTAGGCAAGATGGCTAAATGGCATGATTGAGCAGTAATTAGTTGTGTTGAGGCAGCTCACGGACGATGGATTTACAGCTTATTTAGAGTATTGCAACCGAATACCAATTGCTTACAATAGCCATATAGAATATACAAGGGAACATCCGTCCTCCTGCAGACCACCGTCAGAGACTTGTTAAGAGGGCTGAAGAGGACCAATCTCACTCAAGATCAAGTGGGGTGATTTAACTGAAGATGGCAGCTGCTGGTATCAGTCAGAATATCATCCTAATCATCGTGGTGTATGCTGTTTTGGTGAGTAGGTTGGAGTTTTGGCAGCAGTTATTCGGGAGATAAATTTAAAATGGGAAAGGTAGAGCCAGTGTTGGCCAACTGTTGGCTCAAATTTATACTACTTAATATTACTCCATGTTGATTCGTTATACTTATAATCATTGGGATTATTGTTAACCACATTGTTTTTTAAGTCACATGCTAACATTGTTGCCAGGTTGGGTTGATAATAGTGCTGATACTGTTTCGAACTAATCGCCGTATCCAGCTCCGACAGTACCCCACTCCCCACACTCCCATCGGAGATGAATCTAACTTGGTAGGATTATTTATGATGTTGTTGACGTTTATCAATGGTTGAAAAATAAGGGTATTATTTTCGTCTTGAGACACCTTGTTCTGTTGTGTAAATTTTAACCGTGAAATCAATGTAGTATGAGCATGACGTCATGTGTTTCGCTCAGGTGATACATTTTTCTCTAAAAATAACCAATCTATTTAAACTCAAACGTGTTCTCTTCATAACTAACTGGCATGGGTTGAATATTTTCTAATTTTACCTTAAATTTGCGGTTTTTGCCCGAAAAGTAGTTTGAGTCGCATTAATTTTCCTCAAATACCTAAATTGCCAATGCCATCATCTAGATTTCTACCCGGCGATTTAATATTCTTTCCCTAAAATATATCACATGACCATACTATGTGGACGAAGAATCTCGCTGAGCATCTGGCACTATCCCACGGAAAATTCCTCATTCAAACTGGTCTACGATTTTCGCCCGCGGAATTTAATTTAGTTCAAGGTGATTTAGTTCCTCTTTCAAAATAACTTCCAGCCGGCTGCGGATTAATTCGGTATAAGAAATACTGATTTGTGTCTAATAAAAACCCTTCCATCAGGCTATGAAGGAGGAAATAAAAGTCGGTCTTGGTAGGGTAGCAGAGATCAAGGTACAACCACGGTTTTTGGCGGTTGAAGGACAAGAAGGCGAGTCTCCCGACTCCGACCTTTCACATCGCATGATTGCTGTAGATTCTATGAGATCTTTAGGTGAGTTTTATCTTACAGAATTTTTAAAGAATTAGCTCTCTGCTAATACTTATTTTTGTCTTACATTTTCATTCTTGAGTACGATTCTTCTAGAAGAAAACGTGCCCATGTGCAGACGAAACTAAACCTGAAATTCTAAATCAGAATATTCAGGGTGCACTCAGAATGTTGTGTCCTGTTGAAATTGAGGGGGGGGGGGGGGGGGTTGGGCGTCTCCATCAGTCTCGATTCATTACAAAAATTGCGGGTTTTTCTTGCATCGCGGTAAATTTTCGACGACAGGTCTTGAAGACAATTCTTATACATGTGAATTCACAATTTACTATTAATTCACTAGAAAATGTTTGGTACACCCACCACGATTTTACCGGTAATAAATTTATTTTTCCAAAACCCTGTTTCAAAGCTATTTGCAGCCACAATCAAAATGATAGGTCGAAACAAATGGAATATTGCAGAACTATGGCATCGCTACCGTAGTTATAATTAGAAATATGATTAGAATTAGGACAGGGTGGTGCAGCCCGCCCCATTTTACATGATTTAGCAATTACGGTCTTGCCAAGTGGGCTGTTAGGTAAATATTTACGTGAATTGTCAATATAAATTTAAGATTTTAGAATCTGGTACCGTCAAATCATGAGTCATATTGCTATATTATGAATATTTGGCTCAGTTTATATGATTACACAATGTTAAACATGAAATATTACAAATGACCTAGTGCATACAATGGTAAATATTTCGAACACTTGGATTCTAAAATATCAAATGCGGCCGCGGGTTCAACGCCGCGACCATTATGCCAGTTAGCGTTTAAATAGAAGTTTGCTTGAAAGCAGCTTTTCAACTTCAAGATCGAAACATCAAGATCTATGACAAATATATTACTAAATAGCAAAACTAAGGCCTCCACAATATAAAAAAGTAGGAAAACCGTTCCTTTAAAGATCAATTTGGTAGCTTTCTTTATGACGCACTGCAGTCAGCAATGATCTTGTCCTTTTGTTAACAATGATCTTGTCCTTTTGTTAAGAATGACGCTATTGTCTAGACCTTTTGTTCGACTTTGAGCGGTACAAACTTTTCATGGCAAATGGATAACTAGAAAGCAAAACTGAGTCCTTCGCAGTGCCACTGCAGTATAAAAAGCAATAAAACCACTCATGCACGTGCCCTCCTTAGTTTAATTTTGCATGAAGAAGCTTTCTATACGACACACGGTCAAAATCAATCAATCAATCAATCTGTGAGCCGCATGACCCTGTCCTTTAGTTGATAATGACGCTATTGTCTAGCTCTCTTACGTTCGACTTTTTGATAGGTATAAACCTTTCATAGGGGGTAATTATGCCATATCTATAATGGAGTAAATACATATACAGTCATAAACATTTAACACCTATTACTACCACGTACTGTAAGAATGCCGTAACTCTCAACTACCGAGCACACCTATGTCGTGCTCGTAGTCGTATAGTATATCCGCTCATATAACATATCAATACTAATAGCCCCAGTAATTCTGTGTGTGGGAAATTTCCGAGCGGTTTAATTAAGAAAACGGTAAAAGTTCGGGACTGGTTTTTTCGGTATAGTGCCGACAGTGGCGTAACGTTGCCTGTTGGCGAAAATAAACTTGAATGGCTTTTACCCAATGAAAATAATCGGACATGGCGAAACAATATTATGAAGATTTACTTGTGCAATCCCTAAGGAATGGCGATGAAAAGTCATCTATTGGAAGAATGCACTATGGGACTTACTTAATGAACATACTGCGTTGATTTCATAATGAAAGGCCACTTAGCAGTTATCTTTATAAGTTATTTTAAGGTATGTTAAGCGTAACCCGGCAACGAGAGTAATAAAGGAAGTTAATTGGTTATTTAATATTTAAAATCATTACATGATGTAACTTAAATTTGAAGTATAGTATGTTAATACTAGTAAAAGTTATCAGTTCCAGATGAGAACAACAATTTAAATATTCCTGATGACTCAACGTGTCTAAGTTACTCCCCAAGATAATACACAAGATTCCTCAATTATTTCTCCTTTGTCGCCCGTATTATACCACAGACACTCCTCAAAACTGAAAATGCTCACGGTAAATTATTGTTCAGCTGTGTTGAATATATATTATATAACCTCCTTCAACTAAGTCTCTATAAATATAATGAGTTCTGTAAACTGTGTAATAGTAGCTGAGTATTTGTATTACGGACTAGCGCTTCCAGTGAGCTGAGATTAGGCTGCTATTACCAAGGTTCTTACGCCCCTTACTAATTACAAATACTAATACTAATTACCGACCATCTGGTATTGAAGCTTTGTAAGTTTGTATAATGTAATAGTGGTGTGGGCTACCAATGCCTCCAAGACGAATACTGATGTTATTATTTCCAGTAAACTGACAACGTATTTCTCATCAGATCGGATGGTGAAAGAGATATTGCCGACTTGGCAGAAATCCAAGAAGCACAGTGTCCGAGAGTTCCTGTACATAATGTCCCGTCCTAATGCCCCACTCGGCCAGGTGGACGATGTCTGCCTTGCTTTATTGGACTCTTACGAGAGGGCAAGATACGGTGCTCAGGTACAGCAGTGTGTATTGTGCTGCTCGTTAGGATTCATCCTTTCTCTGCTCCTGCTCTATTAAAATTAATGATTTTCTCAGTTTATATAGAATCTCAATCACCAACCAATTCTATTTCAGCCGTACAACGAGAACGAGAAGAAAGTTTTCATAGACACTCTGATGGACCTGATAAACAGACTCTCTATTTTGGATCCAGAGGACTTTGCGGAGGGCCCAGAAAGTACAGATATCGACCAAGATGATCTAGTTAAGTGGCTGTCAACTCCGGGCAGGGCCCCAGAGTTCAGCTCACTGGCCAGGAGCAGCAGTATCTCCATCAACAGACGTTCTGATCTTAATATCAGCGAGAGTAGAGATCTCATTGACGTAAGTATGACGTCACAATGACGTCACAATGACGTCACACTGTGACGGTGTCAATGTTATGAGTTATGAGAAAGTCTGTGTACTCAGAACAATTGGTCCATCAAGGGACCTAGTGTATTAGTAATTAAGTGGATGTGAACATTTTTTGATGGCGGTGTTGGTGTCGAACCACTCCAAATGGGGCAGTGACCGAGAGTGCCCAATGTCATGACAAGTTTACGACAATATGTGACAATATGTGCCAATATACGACAAGATTTGACAGTGAATTGACAATATACGACAAGATTTGACAGGGAATGACAATTTTTGACAGTGAATTGACAATATACGACAAGATTTGACATGGAATGACAATTTTTGACAGGGAATTGACAATATACGACAAGATTTGACAGGGAATGACAATTTTTGGCAGGGAATTGACAATATACGACAAGATTTGACAGGGAATGACAATTTTTTGGCAGGGAATTGACAATATACGACAAGATTTGACAGGGAATGACAATTTTTGACAGGGAATTGAAAATATACGACAAGATTTGACATGGAATGACAATTTTTAACAGGGAATTGACAATAAACGACAAGATTTGACAGGGAATGACAATTTTTGACAAGGAATTGACAATATACGACAAGATTTGACAGGGAATGACAATTTTTGACAGGGAATGACGGGGAATGACAATATACGACATTATTTGACAAACCGTGGGAAAAAGGGCACTCTCGGCCTCGGTCACTGCCCCAAATGTTTAACACGACGTTTATATTTCAGTTGTCCCTATCTGAGCCTGACGTGGCCGGGTCCTTAACAGGTCACATGGAACGACCGTCATCTCTCGATCTGTCGTGACTTCAGCCGGGGACAGGGGGACAGGGGTAGGATTAGGACATTAATTATTTGTTATAAAGAACAGGATAATTAAATGTAGAAACTTTAGATCTGGAATCTAAATCTTAATATCCCTTTAATATAATCTGTTAAAAATGTTACTAGATATCTGTAATGATTATGTTTATATATATGTTGATTTTGAAAATTTCGATAGACCGTACTTTACCCGGATCTTATAATGTCAGCTATGAATCGAAATTGAAATTTATAGCAATGATAGAAAATTAGTTTAGGAGATCACATCTTTTCAAGATCTTTGATTTTTAGATCCCTTCTTGTTACAATTTATAAGTGTCAAATAAGCGTTATCCTAATAATAGTTTTAAATGCATAATTCATTCTTGAGATTGTAAGACTTAAACTACTTTTGTTAACTGGTTTTCCCGCCCTTTTACTTTCTTTATAATAAAATTATGAGTTAATGATGGCAATTTTTCGAGGCACAAAATTTGAAAATTAGTTCTAATTTCAGCGGTTCAATTGCATTTCGAGAATTTATTTTTCGAGTTTTGTGAATATATTTCAGAGATTTTTGTTGATTGATTTTTGGACTAATATTACTTTTCATGCAGCTATTTTGTTCTATTTTTCTTACCAATCTCAGGAAATAAAGTGAAAATTAAACACCTTCTGACGAACATCGTGGGGTAATGGTTTATGGTAGTAATGCTGATGCAAGTAAGGGGGTTAAAGTGACTTTAACAGTTGGGAGAAATGATGTCTGAAATGGCAAAGTGGTTTTACTTTTAGAGGTTGACATACAGTAAACGAGCCTAATTAGGGTCATTGGTAATGAGTATATACTTATAGTCGGGAAGAGTAAAGTTGTGTAACTAGTGCTACTGCACTAATATGAATGTGTAAACTGCTAGTGTCTTGCTCCCAAAACTCGATAATTTACCGAAACACGGTCAGCACACGATTGATATACCGAATGAACAGTTGGCACACGGTTGATGCACAATGATCACTTCCCGCACAGTTTAACTTGATGCACACACGGCCACGATAATCACCGTAACCGGCCGGTAAGGGGTCGTTCACATATTACGTAATCATTTTTTGGAACATTTTTACCCCCCCCCCCCCCCCCCCCCTCCGTAATCAGTTTTACACATAGCTATTGTGTCAAAATTACACTAGCGTAATCATTCGGTAAGCCCCCACCTCCTCACTCCTCAGCTGATTACGTAATATGTGAACGACCACTATAAGTGGTCACTAGCTTAACGGGTCACTAGCTTAACGGGGGATACTCTTAGGGGTCGTTCACATATTACATAATCAGCTGAGGGGGGGGGGGGGTTCCGAATGATTACGCTAGTGTAATTTTGACACAATAGCTATGTGTAAAACTGATTACGGAGGGGGGGGGGGTAAAAATTGCCAAAAAATGTATTACGTAATATGCGAACGAACGAGAGGGAGAGCTTCAGCTAACGGCAATTGATAAGTTTGTCGAAGAAGATGATAAATGAAACTCGAAGATAGGTGGTAAAAGATAGAAGTGTCGACAAGGCTTTAACAAAACTTCCTCTACTTAGGATAACATAAACAAGGCCCGACGACCTGACTTAGCACGTGAGGCCGTCCAATTTTAAGAGCCAAGACTATGTTGTATGTATCTCCATGCATGAAGGGAGAATCAGCAAGTCTTAAACAATTTGAGGAAGCTGAACTATTCGTCAAGTTGTCCCAAACAAGATTGAACTCCCTTTGAGTTTATATAATTATAACAACGTTACTGGGCGGCGCTCGGCCTGTCATTCCGCCTATATTTCTATAATTGATAATATGATTATGAACATAAATATAATAGCCTGAGGTCCCCAGGTAAATAACAACGATGACTCTCTTGACTCTGGTTGTAATTCTCTGCGATTATATATTGGAGTTTAGTACGCACTCCCGATATCAGATAACAAAAGTAAAGGTGTTAATTAGCTCGCAATGCTGAGGTGCCTTTCTCAGTTGTCATGGTAACTAAAAGTGAGGCTTTTAATGGAGAATGGTAAGAAACACTTCTTACAATACTAATTAAATAGGTTATCAACCTACAATCACTAACCGGTAACTAGCAGGTTACTGACCACTTTCGAAGTGCCGACTAACACAAAGGGGTCATTCACATATTATATTTATATTACTTCACCTAGCAGTAGCCATGACTATGAGTCTAGTGTCTACGCCATACGCGTACTGCGGTCGCGCGCTACTGCAAGTGCAAGCGAGAGGGCTCTGGTTTGTGGTTAGAGCAAACATATTATATTACGTTTAATCACTTTTGGATGATTTTTAACTTCCGGCCCCCTCCGTAATCAGTTTTACACATTTTGTCTAAATTACACTATAGTAACCTGAGGACCCCAGGCTATTATGTTCATTAACATATAGATTTGGCGGAATGACAGGCTGAGCGCGGCCCAGTAACACTATAGCATTTGGAAACCCCCCTCGACTGATTACCGTAAACCGTTACGTAATATGTGAAGCCCCACGAAAACCTCACCGAACCTCCACGCAGTGTGAGGTGGGTGGCTCGAACTTGTAGGTTTATAACTTACCAGGACGCGCGCCGAGTTGGACTCGTCGAAACAAATATTTTACGATCAGTTGACATACGTTGCATGCCACTTTTCGCGCGCGAAGCGCGCGCCGCCGAAGGTGATATTTGGATACGAAACATGTATCAAACGATCAGTATCACCCGTTAACTTTTGTCATACGTTGTATGACCCGCCGCGCACGAGTGCGCGGCTCCCCGGCCCTGTATCGTAAAAACTTTACACCATAGTGAAACGACCGTGGGGTCACTCGACGTGATACAAGTTAACTTTAAGCTCGAACGGGAGGTACATGCGCTGGTTGTTTCTAATATAAACCTATGCAAAGGAAGGGACTAGCCAGCTCTACAATTGATTGACGATGTCAACCCTTCCAGATCGTTGCTCTGCAAAGCACTTGCATTGTGCATGGAATTAAGACATCCTTTGAAAAATTGTTATACTTATAATCAACATCGATAATGTTAATGTGCGTAAAATTAAATTGATCACGACTGTACTTGGTACTGCTGTCTGCAGATCACCAGGTGAAATCTGTTAGTGTTAAATTAGTCAAGAATAAACTCAATATCATAAAATTTAAAATGAGGCAGAATGCAGAAGGATAATAAATTTTTTTCTTTAATTCAACAGCTTGTTGAATTTTTTCTTTTTACTGGCTCCTGGGTTTTGAGCCTCTCGTCTGACACCACAATATGATGCCCGGCTTTCATATCCTCATTGGCGCATCTCAACTTACTTGGTGAAGTTGGAAGATGAGAAGAACTCTGTTCGGCTGTAAACTTCATGAACTTGAAGGGAGCTGAAATGTGAAATGGCTGACCATTTTATCTGCGGCTTGCAATATCTGTTCCATGACATGCAATGGTCGTTGCTCCTTGTGGAACATTAAAAAACGAAGAATATCCTTGTTTTACGGAGGATGGCTTGGAAGGGTGGTAAGAGTTCCGTTTATGTAATCTGATAACTTCATGGTTAAAATTAAATCGAGAAAGCTTTTTGAGAAATGATCACTAGGAGGTGCACGATAATAATAAACTTGCTCGGATTTTAAAAATTTTTGTACCACTGTTTTCTAGAGATTGTGAGAATTTCCCCAATACCAAATTTGTCATACCTTTTTGGAAAGATCAGTGAGTTTCGCCTAGGTGCCATATTTGATGGTGCGCGGCTTTTGGAGCAAAAGTAGCTGTAAAAGTCGCGTAATTTGACCAAATTCGTCCAAATTTGACAATTTTTGTCGTATTATTCGGATTTATCTTCAGTTCCTTAAATGAGATCATTCTGGAAATTGGCGACGACCTTCCAATAGGGCTTTCACAACTGTCCGAAAAATTTTGTGGATATCGGAGTTGATATAGTGATCAAAATGGGGAAAAATACGCTACTTTTAGCTGTAACATAATGTCTGATGGTTGGATATGCTTTAAATTTTTCGGACACTTTCCTTGTAAGTCTTTAAGTAAGCCTACCAATTTTTGTTGCAATTGGAGGTCGGGAAGGATACTCAATATCTATTTGTTTGAAGAAAATTGTGCTGGCCGAAATTAGCGCTAAAAAACCATCCTACAATCGGCACGCGCGGCTCACTGTCGATGGCGCACTACCTATGATCACTCCATATTATAATCCAAGTTTTCTTTATTGTCTATGACCGCCCACGTGCAAATTGAGACAACTGTCAACATTTTATGTAGGGTTGCCATGGTTTACTGTGCGATTACTACGCAATTGCACGCTCATTTTAATTTGCTGTAATGTTGCCAAATAATGAGTGCATACGTGCAAATTGCGCGAAAAATAAGAATTTGCAATAAGCAACGGCTTTGTTGTTATATTATTTGTAGATATCTAACTCTGTATTTTTTTAAACTGAAACTTTATCAAATATTCGGAAAAATAATTCCTTCGTCTTTTCAACCTGAGATCTGTCCCATAACAGCATAACCACGCACACAACCTGAGAAGTACAGGATTCGTTGTTTACAATTATAAGGATTCGCAGAGATGCTGCAGTATGCTTTACCAACCGATAAGCTGCTCAGCTCATAATAAATTGATTACATTCAATTGCATTTTAAAGCAATTTCCCCTGAAGTATGATCATTATAACCAGTTTTATCGTGTTTAGCGTCATCAAAAACATAGGGTTACACTTACATGATATTTACTGGGCCGCGCTCAGCCTGTCATTCCGCCAAATCTTTATGTTAATGAACATAATAGCCTGGGGTCCTCAGGTAAACATGATATTCGCTTCGATTTTCATTAACAAAAAATCCTTCTATTTTAAAATCTCTGGCCTAGCTGCCTGATGGGTTTCAGAAGGTGATCCATACCAGATCGAAATGCTTAACCTTACCTGGGGACCTGATCAGGCTATCATGTTCATAAACATAGAGATTCGGCGGAATAACAGGCTGAGCGCGGCCCAGTAACGTTAACCCGGCGGGGTTGCACCAGGGGCGGTGGTAACAGAGTTTCAAGAATCAAGACTCTCGGAGTCTGTTTGCTGTTGTCGATATCTATGTGTAATATATTTATGGTATATAATTTGCATTTGGAAGTCTCTCTCTCCAGAGTCCAGCAGCAGGAGTTGGAGAAATAGGATGCGTTGTGAAAGCCACCGTAAGGAAGGCTTACAGTCGACGCCGACCACTCAGATTATCATGTATCAGAAGAAGTAATATGTGAAGTGTGAACGAACCCTTATATATATTAATCACCAGGAGCCAGTCCACGACAGTCTTTCGCATGCTAGAGCAGGCTGTCTTTAGTAACTGGCTTATGGCTAGTGACCACTTTTGAGTAAAACCGCGGGTCTAGAACGGCGTTACACGGTACAACAAACGGCGCTATCTGGTTCCTAATCCTAAGCGGCGAGGCACAACTATAAGTAATAGTATAAAACAAAATATGATCAACTATGGCCATTGACCATTTAACATTGGCCTAAATACACTAATATTACCTGCTGTAATAACTGTGTCTGCAGTTACTACTGCTCAGCTCCTGAGATGAGCAATAAAGATAATTTCCGTAAATTCCCTGGTTTAGGTATGGGCATTGGGCCAACGACAAATTGTAATACCCTGAACTAGTTAAGTCCTTTTTTCCCTTTTAATGCAGGTAAAGTGAGGCTAACAGATCATTTCTAATTTTTCAATTATGTTTGAACAATAACGTCCTTTAAGTTTAAACTATCCTTTGACCTGGTATACATTATATGGATACTTTAGGTCGATGGTAGACTCCACCTACCCTTTCTGTCTTTTGATGGAGGGTAAAATAAAACTAACTATCAAGGGTTTTTTTTTCATTATTACATTTTGATCGGTTTTGTGATAATTATGTTATGTTTAAAGTGTTTTATATTTAAATCGGCTATATTTTCGGTTGGAATGGATATTTTTGGATGCGATTATAATTACAACTTTTTTCTAACAATACTACTAGTACTATAGCTTCCTCCCTGTTATATATATATACTAGAAACCCGCCGCTAGTCGAAAGCTTTGTTCGAGGAAATTTTAAGCATCAGTTATGTTTTAATTTCTCTTCATCATATAGCTCTGTTATACTGTAGACATAATGGAATTTATCTAACAATGGCGACAGCGTTGTTAGTATTCGGATTCCCAAAACGATACTTTTTACCGCATCAAAAAATACCAATCACAACCAAAGTTATGAATATAAGTCATAGCGTGAGCGTAAATGTGAGCTAGTTTTGAAATTATGACGTAGCATACAGCATAACAACGCGCGTAGTTAAGATGTTTTTGCTCGCGCACGTGCATTTTAACGTTGCTACGCAACAGCGCAGTAAACCTTTGCTAAAATAACGACATTATTCTAACGGTTATTTTACCTCACTTCCGACGTTAATTATAAAAAATCTAAAGCCTAAATCAAAATTCTAAGAATGCTATAGCCTATTCCTATCCTTTTTCTACAACCCTGCTAAAAATGGCGAGGTTTCAACTCCATTTGCGAGCTGGGTTTGGCATCACCAGAGGGTCATTTTGAGGTCGATTTTCGGTGTTTTTTCTTCTATGTCCCCGTTGCCGGGGAAATTTCGTCAAGTTTAAAATATAATATAGACTAGAAACCCGCCGCTAGTCGAAAGCTTTGTTCGAGGAAATTTTAAGCATCAGTTATGTTTTAATTTCTCTTCATCATATAGAGATATAGCCCCAAAACGATACTTTTTACCGCATCAAAAAATTTCAATCACAACCAAAGTTATAAATATATATAGGTATATAGCGTCATGAGGGTAAATGTGAGCTAGTTGTGAAATTCTGACGTAGCATACAGCATAACACCTAACCTGAGGACCCCAGGCTATTATGTTCATTAACATAATTGATTTGGCGGAATGACAGGCTGAGCGCGGCCCAGTAACATAACACCGCGCGTTGAAATCCGCTGTAGTCGAAAATTTTATTAAAGGACACTATAAGGGAGCGAATTTATCGTTCGAATTTATCGGTCATCGCTAGTCAATGGTCAAACAATCCAACAAATATGCTTTAGTTCCCGAACCCTGCTTCACTGAAAATATATGAATTACACATTTGAATCATTTCGGTAAATGTCAGGTCCCTCATCGTCTCATTTGATAGATCTGTTCAAATTGAAGTTTTTACGTATGAAAGAATTGTGATAAATAAAAAAGGAAATTTGTGCTGGATGAAATTGGTAAAATGACATAATCTATCAAATGACTCAACACTTGGGACGTTGAGTGTAGATTTAACCTGAGTTACAAATGTGAATAAATGGATATAGGTTGGAAAAACGTTAGAATTATTATTCATTATTATTATCGTTATATAAAAATATTATATAACAATTGATTAATATCTATAAATAGATAGGAAGAAGTCACTGAACCGGTTGGATTAAATGAAATGTGACGGACCTTTCTGATCATAGAGAGAGATATGGATGTATGATAGTATGATGCAAGTTCTGTAAATAGGGTTACGAACAAAATATAAATGTAAATTGTAAATAAATAAATCAAATCACATAAAAAATGAAACGCAATCAAAATATAATCATTACACGAAATATACAATGACAGAAGATAAAAGATAAAAGATAAAAGATAAAAGATAAAAGATAAAAGATAAAAGATAAAAGATAAAAGATAAAAGATAAAAGATAAAAGATAAAAGATAAAAGATAAAAGATAAAAGATAAAAGATAAAAGATAAAAGATAAAAGATAAAAGATAAAAGATAAAAGATAAAAGATAAAAGATAAAAGATAAAGAACAGAATGACATAATAAAATAAAATCTCTGACATAATGAAATAAAATCATAAATAATAAATAAAATCACTTCCGCTTACTCCTTCTTTTACCCTTCCCGCTAAAATCAGGTTCATTAAGATAAATCTTGATAAAATCTTCGTTGTCTTTTTTGAAATCGTCGTAATTTTCTAAAGTCTCAAGGATGGTGGAGACTATTACCAATGACTGTTGTACAGTCTCACCATCCTTTGGGAAGTATAATTTCTCCTCTCCATCTGAATGTTGTAGATGTCGTTTACTCATTGTCTTAAATTAGTAAATAGTCTTAAATATAGATATCTATATTATATCTATATAAAGTTCAATCACAAAGTTTATGAAATCATTTATGATACAAAAACTTACCAATAAAATAGGACATACACGCCTTTCCATCTATCACTTTCACTGTCATCGACATGTTATTCTCTGATCGAAAAAAGGACATTTTTGCTGAATAGTATGGGGAAAATGAAATATTTTATCAAAATCAAATGACTCAACACTTGGGAAGTTGAGCGTAGATCCTAAATCAAATAGGTTAATAAATGGATATTTACGTAGGTTGACAAAACGTTAATTCAAAATTATTATCATTATATGAAATTATTATATGAAAATTGATTGCTATGAAAATAAGTAATAGCTAGTTATGAAGAAAATCCTTGAACACGGGATTCTTTGCAATATTGCCCCGACTTGACTGCACCAAGATATCCTTAGATGGGATCTCTTCAGTATGGATGAGGAAATACCGTTTCTACCTTGACCCGGAACTATTGGGAGGCACTGTTTGAAGTCCCCCGACATTACCACAGGTATCCCACCGAATGGTTTGCACACTTTCCTTATGTCCTGGAGAGTACGATCGACTGCCTCAATGACCATTTTGTTTAGAAATAGAATCGTAACTTCATCTATGATGATAATATGCGTATTGCATAGGAGATCTGAAAGGCTTGTTCCTCTGTTGATGTTACACATGAAGAAACCCGCTAGTCGAAAGCTTTGTTCGAGGAAATTTTAAAAATCAGTTATGTTTTAATTTCTCTTCATCATATAGCTCTGTTATACTGTAGACATAATGGAATTTATCTAACAATGGCGACAGCGTTGTTAGTATTCGGATTCCCAAAACGATACTTTTTACCGCATCAAAAAATACCAGTCACAACCAAAGTTATGAATATAAGTCATAGCGTGAGCGTAAATGTGAGCTAGTTTTGAAATTATGACGTAGCATACAGCATAACAACGCGCGTAGTTAAGATGTTTTTGCTCGCGCACGTGCATTTTAACGTTGCTACGCAACAGCGCAGTAAACCTTTGCTAAAATAACGACATTATTCTAACGGTTATTTTACCTCACTTCCGACGTTAATTATAAAAAATCTAAAGCCTAAATCAAAATTCTAAGAATGCTATAGCCTATTCCTATCCTTTTTCTACAACCCTGCTAAAAATGGCGAGGTTTCAACTCCATTTGCGAGCTGGGTTTGGCATCACCAGAGGGTCATTTTGAGGTCGATTTTCGGTGTTTTTTCTTCTATGTCCCCGTTGCCGGGGAAATTTCGTCAAGTTTAAAATATAATATAGATATATATATGATATTAACACGGGCTTTCTACTTCTAGTTTGTTTATAAAACCAGCTTACTGTACTTCAAGCTTTCAAGAGTCCTAAGAGTATAGTAGGAATCCTAGGGTGTTCTAATTAAGTAATTGGTAATTTAGCAAACTCCTGGTTTGTGGGATGTTGATAATGCACTGAACCCAAATGAACACTCACATTTTGAACTAAGATTTAATCAAAGAACAAACATTTACACAAATATTGTGAAAAAGATTCTGATCACATCAGGGTGATATAGTTGAAAAGTTTTTACTTAGTTTAGTATTCTTCGGCCTCTTCTTCACCTTCACCCTCAACAGAGTCGACACCGACCTCTTCGTAGTCCTTCTCCAGAGCAGCCAGATCTTCTCGAGCTTCGGAGAACTCTCCCTCCTCCATACCCTCTCCTACGTACCAGTGGACGAAAGCTCTCTTGGCGTACATAAGATCGAACTTATGGTCAAGACGAGCCCAGGCTTCAGCGATGGCGGTAGTGTTGGACAACATGCAGACAGCCCTCTGTACCTTGGCAAGATCACCTCCGGGAACAACTGTTGGTGGCTGGTAGTTGATACCGACCTTGAATCCAGTAGGACACCAGTCGACAAACTGGATAGTTCTCTTGGTCTTGATGGTGGCAATGGCAGCGTTGACATCCTTGGGGACAACATCTCCTCTGTACAACATACAGCAAGACATGTACTTGCCGTGTCGTGGGTCACACTTCACCATCTGAGGGAAATATCGTTTTAAAACATCTGATCTGCAAATGTTGAGTTAGACAGCAGAGTGGTGGGTTATTATTCAGGAACAAGTATTTTTTGGTTAACTTAACTATAAAGCTTATGCTTATAAGTGTTCATATCCTGTTCAAAAGATAGGATATGTGATTAATTATTACGACTAATTACCTGGTTGGCTGGCTCGAAGCAAGCGTTGGTGATCTCAGCAACTGAGAGCTGCTCGTGGTAAGCCTTTTCGGCGGAGATGACTGGAGCATAGGTCACCAGAGGGAAGTGAATCCTGGGGTATGGCACCAAGTTAGTCTGGAACTCAGTCAGATCAACATTCAGGGCACCGTCAAATCGAAGAGAAGCAGTGATGGAGGAGACGATCTGTCCAATCAGTCTGTTCAAGTTGGTGTATGTTGGCCTCTCAATGTCCAGGTTTCGGCGGCAGATATCGTAGATGGCTTCATTGTCGACCATGAAGGCACAGTCAGAGTGCTCGAGGGTGGTATGGGTGGTAAGGACAGAGTTGTATGGCTCAACAATAGCAGTAGAGATCTGTTGGGGATGTTAATGATTAGTGGATACATTAGAACTCGAAGGATAAGTTTAAAGCGATTGTGGTCTGGTTCACTTTCAGTTTAAGAGATGAAAAACTGGGTCATGCTGTGACTCGTTATTCAAATTCAATTGCGACTTGTTCTATATTCAATGACATACCTGAGGTGAAGGGTAGATAGCGAACTCAAGTTTGCTCTTCTTTCCGTAGTCCACACTCAGTCTCTCCAGGAGAAGAGAAGTGAACCCAGATCCGGTACCTCCACCGAAGGAGTGGAAGACAAGGAATCCTTGAAGACCGGTGCACTGGTCGGCCAGTTTCCTGATTCTGTCCAGGCAGAGATCGACAATCTCTTTGCCGACGGTGTAGTGACCACGAGCGTAGTTGTTGGCAGCATCCTCCTTTCCAGTGATGAGCTGTTCAGGATGGAAAAGCTGTCTGTAGGTTCCAGTCCTCACTTCATCAATGACTGTGGGTTCCAAGTCGAGGAAGACAGCACGGGGTACGTGCTTTCCAGATCCAGTCTCGCTGAAGAATGTGTTGAAAGCATCATCACCACCTCCGATGGTTTTGTCAGAAGGCATCTGGCCATCAGGCTGGATACCATGTTCCAGGCAGTAAAGTTCCCAGCAGGCATTACCGATCTGTACACCGGCTTGTCCGAGATGAATCGAGATACACTCACGCTGAAATTAATGGTGTTAGACTTTAATCATTATTAAGAGTATGATTACTTTAAATGCAAAGCTAGATCTATGAAAATATTTTCGTGATTCGTATCGTATAATTAATTTAATTCGTATAATTAGTATAAATCGGCCGTAGCTTACCATGATTATTATAGTCAAGAGTTGGCTTCGGAGTAACGATACGAGACTAACAAAATTTCAGCAGAATGAATGTGAAGCGATAATCGGACAATTTATATGCAATGATCGTTGACAAATTGTCTTTATTGTTCCCGGGGTAACGTGCACTTGTACAGCTAAAGTTTGTTTTTGCTTGCTGTTACCAAGCTGATTCATTCTCAGCATGCATTCGTAGACTTCAAGTAATGTCAACAAATGTAGCAGTCATGCATCACAATCCCGCCCCAATACGAGTATTGAGTCTGTGCTTGACTGATCAAGCGATTTGCGAGTTAAAACATTTTGATGGGAAGCATGTGATTGCAACTGCACGAGACAATCTATCAGTTAGCTTTTGGAAAAGATATCGTAAAGCTTCGACTTTGAGGCTGTAAACTTAGGTTATAGTCAATTGTATATCAAAGTACTTAAAGTAAGTATATTCCCTAGCTATACAATTTTGTGGCGTACAATTTTTCTTTTAAAATAATCAAAATTGGTATCAAAATCATTAGGCTGATGATTCTAGGCAATAATTGCTTGAAATGAGAATTTTGTATGGTCATCCCCGTCTCATCGCTTACTAGTTAATTGTTCTGAGATTACATACATTAACAAGTAGTCTAGTCTCATGTGAGCTATAGATATATATAATCCAGCATAAGAACCTCTACGCTTACAGGTGTACTAATCTTTACTTTAATTCTGTAAAGTGATTGTTGCTAACTTTCACAGTACACTAGGGGTGGTGTTATATTTCAAAGCTTATCCGACAGTGAACAGACAACTGACTGCTGATTCTCTTACCACTTTTCTGACAGGTTTTTATCAAAGAAACAGTACCAGGTGCAGTTTACAGAACCCTTTACGCTTTGATCTCATTTGTTGTCCACAACACTTTTCATTTTTGTCTATTAACAGTGTTTGAAGTAAGATTCAAAGACTTCAATCTCACTTCACATTCAGCTGACAGATGATGTTCAGGATTAATCTTGTTGTCGTATCTGCTCTACTGATGAGTTTAGCAGTATCTGATACATGTGGCCAGGACCGAGTAGTGCTGGGGGACTGGTTCGTGGCCCATGGGTCCCCTGACCTTCTTGAAGAACCCATCCCAACCCTTGTGGGCTACGTTAGCACTAACCCATACGATGATCCTACCAACCCACCTCCCTCTACAGATGTGTACTGTGCCATGCAGTGGTCCAACACCACTGACCCTGATACCGGTCTCCGGAGATACAGACTGAAGAACTTTAACTCTGAAGGGGAGGCGGGTGCTGCCAACTTCTCCATCACACACAAGGGACACTGTGCGAGCTGCTCCACTCTACAGGACCTGGGGGTGTACATTAGGCAGAACTTAACGGATTCTACCAGGACATGTGGCAAGGAAGGTGTCATCTCGTCCGAGTGGCAACATGAGTGTCTGCAGAAAATTGGTTTCTCCGAGCAGTGTATCACAATATGGGAATACAATATTCTGAACACAAGAGACCAGTGCTTTTGGACCTGTATGTGGAGTGATATCAGGAACGAGCCCTTTAACAAACCAGACGGGAGTTTGAACGATTGTTTACAATGTGATGAAGATAAATCGGGTCCTAACTTCAAGTACTTTTCAGGGAGAACAAGAAGGAACTCCGGAATTCCAAGCTCCATTAAGCGGCCAGGTTCTCAACAATATAACATGGAACATTGCTATTGGTATGGTGATCTTTAAATTTAAGATATTTTGATTATTAAAATTCGCAAATATTTAATCTAATTCAAAATGAATAATCTGAGTTTAATTTGTTCTGTAATCTGTTATTGTGATTCTAGATGGGACTAGAGTTCGGGCGCTTGTAACATGGTTTCAATTAGTGATGGTATTAACTAGTGATAATGCAATAATAAAGCTAACGCAATACTCACAACTTAGCTTCCTGGTTTTACTCGCTCATAACCAAAGGGAAAATTACTTAAGTTACGTACTTTTAAAATATCTGTTAAAAGTACGTTATACTTTTAAATATCTTAACACTTTTCACATTTAACATATTTAACTGCTTCTGAACGATCGTACAAATTGTAAAATTATAACTCAAAAATCTATTAAGAGCTAACAAATACACGGCCCAACACTATGTCATCAAATCCCCTCACAATAGTCTCTCTCTCTCTCTCTCTCTCTCTCTCTCTCTCTCTCTCTCTCTCTCTCTCTCTCTCTCTCTCTCTCTCTCTCTCTCTCTCTCTCTCTCTCTCTCTCTCTCTCTCTCTCTCTCTCTCTCTCTCTCTCTCTCTCTCTCTCTCTCTCTCACTCCACGTGATATGTCGTCGCATCATTTGATATATCGTCATTTCATGGTCCCTAAACACAAAGGCATTTTCTGTACTTTTATACCATTACCGTACTTATGAACGAACCTTACTATATACCAATCATAACCAATATCATCACAATCATTACCAATATCATCACACGTGACATTCATCATCATGACAAGTATATTTCGAGAGGTTTCTAAAGTCCTAACATTACTAAAGTGTATCCTTCATCCTCCTCCTATCGCGACAAAATATTATAATTTTTAAATGAAACAGAAAATTCTGCTCTAGTAATAATAAGTGAAAGAGTCTTGCTTAGTGGGACAAATTATGTAACTGTCCCCGCGGTCCACGTATATCTTTGAAACATTCCGTCACATAGAATAACATTTAATAAGTAAATTTGTACTATTTTACATTATCTGAACAAATTTAAGATGTTTGTTGTACTTGTTACCAAATGGAAGTGGGGCAGATCGTCCTGGCACATGATAATGGGTTACTGTTTCCTCCGTTCGTGTAATTCGTGTTAACTTACCTCGCGATCCAAAGTGAAGTATGAATAAATTGATAAATAATTATAAATGCAAAACTAATGTACTTGGGCTTCCTGGACCCAATGTCACCAGGATATAGACTATTCAGTATTCACTGGTATTTAATATTTAGTAAACGCTTCCTTGTGATTATAATGTACCGGCTATTCAATTAGACTTTGAAAATAATTGTAGTGATATGTAACTGTTATTGCATACAAATTTGCATTTGATTATTTTATTGTTGTTATAATTTTTCAGGAAACTGGTCAGTCAGGTGTATCTTTGGTTGTAGTGGGGGGGGGGGGGGGTGTTGTAGTACACTTACATAACTATTCATGTACAACTTTACAAGTATTAGTAATGATTTAAGTTAGTACCTAGCTTATTTTATAATCATACTTTGAAAATGATCATCTCAGTCTTTCAGTCTGACGTAAATTTTATGTTTGAAATGACTGTAATTTCATCCAGCTCACTAAAAATCCTTAATGCTTTAAATTTAAGCAGTAAATTTAAGCTTAGAAATTAGTTTAAGAAATGTAAGTTAAATTTCTTACGTCGAAATCCTTTCTGAAAATAAATTAATTCTATTCATAAACTGTATTACTATTAGTCCACTTGAACTTGAAGGAATTTCAAGATTATTTTTAATTACAAAAAACTGTCTACTAAAGATTATTTGACCGGCATTCGTCATAAGACTGACTATGATAAGACTTACGATTATTTGGCATAATCGTAAATGATTATTCCAAATAATCATTTACGATCATTAGTAATATTGATAAACATAATTAGGCAGATTACCTTGTGCACTAATAACCCATTTGGTAACATCTGATCAACTCACTTCAAGTGCTGTAACATATGGTCAACTTGATAGCTTTAGTGAATATTGATTTTTGGTTCTTGATGGTTAATGTAGGTCGAAAAGAAATCTTGCATCATAGCCGTAACGGCGTAACGTTAAAAATAGTCTTTCAATTGAAAGGAAAATTCGTGATTTATCGTGGAAACTGAAATATTCGCGATTCGTTGTGGAAAACTGAAATCCAGAAAATGGGGGAAATGTAATCAAGGATCTGAGAATATTCCCGTAGACACGTCTTCCACCCCGAGGTTTGAAACCTGGAACTGCTGAAGGGATTAATGCAGTGGGAAATGAGGGAAATTACGATTCCGCACTTGCTAGATTTATTTTTGTCCTTGGTCATGAATGCGCTAAAGTAGAGTTTTCTGTGATAGTAAATAATGGTCATCTCGTGGCCTTGCACAATGCACAGCGTTCTGCTCTATCGTCTACTCTTACTTTTGTCTATTGTTATTGGATTGACCATGCGCTCGCTTATACTTCGTAACATTCGGAAGAAATGTAGACGCGAATCATTTGTCAATCATTCTTCAGCTAAAGCTGAATAGAAAGGTTCGATCGCTCGTTGCTTTGTTCACTAATTAATAAGTGATGACTCAGCTCGTTGAACAGAGGACAAGTCTATAAATTTAGTTCTAGATCCACGATCAGTATTATAGATGGCACTGGTAGCTTTGTACAATCCAGCCATGAGAAAGTTCAGGAATTGTGATCTGCTCAGGTTGATTTATGCGATTATACACTCGAGGTCCCAAATGCAGTTAACAGTCTTGGTTATATTCATAAATCCTAGCAATACTATACTACAGGGTGGGCCAAAAGTCAGTGTGCAAACGTTGGCCTTAATAGCTCAGTCACTGAGTGCCCAATTGAAATACTTCCTTCTGGTATGACTTAGTACCACCACTGGTTCGAGGAATTTGTCAACTCGAAAAATATTCGCGTTCATTTTTTTCAAATGGAGGTTCATTTTCACATTTTTTTGATAGTTTGGATAATTGGATCAAGCTAAATGTTATTGAATTGTGTTTGGCCATTCGAATTACGGTTGCCCTGAAAGAATGAGAGTTCTAGCTTCTCAGATGACCGAGATATGAAGCATAACAAGCTTGTTCATTACGTGTGATCAGGTGATTGGTTTACCTAATCACGTGATAAGGTGACCCCGTTAACTACCCCGTTAAACATTATGGGAATTGTTAAGGGTGCCCAATTAAGGTGTCGTGTCACGGTGTCACATAATCACCCAGTCAATTTGTTAACGAGATACACAAAATGCTTGTTAACTTCGTCATTTCTAATCCGTTTTGCCTCATTTTTCCAGATCATATGCAACATTTGATAATCTACCGTCTCTAAAAAAATTAGGCGTTCAGGATTTTCAGAGAAAACGATATAGGTGTTTTAATATTGAATGGGCGTGGTCTAAAATATTCGAATTTTCAAATTTTGACGACGGAATCCTCGAACCAGTAAGTACAGTATGCCATCTGCAAAGCAACAGCTCTCAAATATAAAACTCAGCGGAGGTATAAGACCCAACGTTTGCACACTGACTTTTGGCCCACCCTGTATTACTAACAACTAAGAGTCAGAGCATGTTCACTCTGTGCAGTAACGTGTAATATCTGGATAGGAATATTATTTAAGAGTTGCATTGTTGTAAATGTAACTGAAATTACCATCTGGTCGGCCCATGGACCATGGTGATGTCAAATGAATTAGTTAATTGCAAGAGTCACATCATTAGAGAAATGAGCTGTTGCGGATCCTTTAACATCAATTTAACCAGTCCAGTCATGTAATTTAACTTTAAGCACAGGCCAACTCATAAATAATGTTCCTATCCAGATATTACACGGTACTATAATAACACATGCTATCTTACTCTTAGTAACAAAGTGATGATGTTTAGTATTCAGAATTTTTGATGATTCCGTAAATACTTAAAAGCTTAAATACGACCAAAGGAAACTATTCTCTTTTAAGTTTAAAATAACTGTTAAAAAGAGCAGTTTCCCTTGCAGTCGTATTTACGTGATCATCACAAATTTTGAACACTAACAGCATTACATGCTGTAACCTTGGAATATAATATTGGAGGTTTATATATATTGTGTATTTAGTATTGATCGCTTTTGTTTTCTTGTGTTTTGTGAACGAAATGGCTTTCGTTTCATTTTGCGAGTAATTAATATAAATAATGGTGCTTAGGAAGCTTGTTAGCATGTACAATTTGGCTCACACTCTTCGACTGTTCATAATGTTTCACGATAAAAAACATTACATGTCCGATGTCGTAATAAACGTTCTACTTCTAATCTTACTTTTCAGTAATATGATAAAGTACATCCGAATTATACTTGAACACCTCATGATGTAATCATGATCTTTGTTTCCCTAATAGATGGTGGAAATAGAACGGAATGAAACAAACAATACCCATTTTATTGGTTATGTGGGCACTGGGCACTAGGAAATTCATCGTTATAATGTTATAAAGAGTGTTATTATTAATATAAGATATTTGGTGCAATTTATAGTTTGTACGTGATATCAGCATCGTTGTGTTTGAGCCATGAACCGCGACACACTTGCTCGCTTGTAGTTGCAGTTGTTTTCTGATTTGGGTTGGTCTTCTGATAAACACTCCAAAATAATACGGTATAATACAAATACACCCGCTTTTCTATATATTTTCATACAAGTACGGGTTTTACTAATTAATTTTGTACTAACTAATCGTCAGCGTGCTATCAGTATCACGTGACATGGGATTTTACGATTTTGCAGTCGAATGAAACGGTCTTACTGAACCCTAACCCAATGGGCAAGGACAAAAGAAAATCGCGGGGATATCGCGGGGAAATCGCGGGGAAAATCTCGAAAATTGCGGCAAAAGATAATTATATTTTTGCAAAGACATTGCACACGCATTTATTGAGAATATTAGTATAGATTATATCCAGGTTATAGAATATAG